ACTGACGATTTGTTTTTTAAAAATTTTCCCTCGATTTTTTAAAAAAAACACACAAAAAAAAAAAAAAAAAAAAAAAGATTTTGGGTGGAATTCGATTCATGTATTGCTAATGTTAAAAATAATGTGTAATATATACTTTTGACATTTACATTCACATCAATCTAATCAATATTTTAAAAATCTAAAACAAAAAAATTATCAATTTTGATATTATCAACATCTATCAAAATCAATTAATAAACGTTCGGAATGAATAAAAAAATTGATGCCTGTTGATTGATAAGACTAATTTTTTTTTTGTTGAGAAAATTTGTTGATTTCAATTGCTGTCCAGTCACACTGTTCATATTTTTTGTTGTTGTTGTTGAAAGACTTTGTAAGTGTATTGATGTCACCTTTAAGATTAAGATCTATTACATATACTGAAATTTCTTGTTTGACAATCTGCTGCCAATAATTAATTTCGAAGAACTAATCAATGAATAAGCATAAACTTTGCAGAATAAAAAATATGAAAAAATCAAGTTTTTTCATATGCTTAAATAAGAGCAAAATATTCGATAAAAAATTGAACAAGTTGAAATGATCGAGAGTAAAAATTGTTCTAGATCAAACTTACCTTCAAATCATCAAGCATTTTATAGTCTTGTTTGAGTTTTTCAACACCTTCTTTCAATAATGGACCTGTACGGAAAACTGCTGCATGTTCTTGCATATCTCTTTGCATTTTCAATCGTAATTGAGCTGTCAATATAGAACCTTTGGCATAACGTAAACGATCCAGATTAGCAACGGAAGCTTCACCAGCTGTAGCAGAAAATTCAGGTAATGGTTCACCAGGACGATCAGATTCAGCAATTGCATGAGCACAAGCACGACCAAAAACCACCAAATCCAAAAGGGAATTCGCACCTAAACGATTGGCTCCATGTACGGATGCACAACCTGCTTCACCCGCCGCATATAGACCTGGAACAACTGTATCACCTTTTTCCTTTGAGTAAGTCAACACTTGTCCTTTATAATTGGTCGGTATACCACCCATATTATAATGAACAGTGGGCAGTACTGGTATTGGTTCTCGAGTAACATCAACACCGGCAAAGATCATGGCAGTCTCTGAAATGCCAGGCAAACGAAGAGCCAATTGTTCGGCTGGTAAATGATGCAACTGTAGATAGACATGATCTTTTTGAGGACCACAACCACGTCCTTCTCGAATTTCAATGGTCATTGATCGTGAGACGACATCCCTCGATGCTAAATCTTTTGCTACTGGTGCATATCGTTCCATGAAGCGTTCTCCTTCACTGTTGACCAGAAATCCACCTTCGCCACGACATCCTTCAGAAAAAACGAAACTCGTGAAAATGTCTTTATTCACCTGTATAAATTACCTTCAGTTATTAAACAACCGGCACCATAGATACCCGTAGGATGGAATTGAATAAATTCAAGATCCTGAGAAGGAAGACCAGCACGGTTGACCATGGCCGTACCATCTCCCGTGCATGTATGTGCAGATGTACAGGAAAAAAAGGCACGACCATATCCCCTTGGATAGAATAATTCAATTTCGATTTCTGATCAGAGTTAAATATAACATACCCCGTAGCTAGGATTGTATTCTTCGACTTGAATCGATGCAAAGTGCCATCTTCTAGTGATAATGCTATAACACCACGACAAGCACCACCTTCCATAATCAAATCGAGAACAAAATATTCGATGAAATATTTGCAATCATAACGCAATGATTGCCCATATAAAGTATGTAATAGTGAATGACCGGTACGATCGGCTACGGCACAGCAACGATGTGCTTGACCACCTTTACCAAAATTATAAGATTGACCACCGAATGCTCGTTGATAGATTTTGCCTTCCGGTGTACGGCTAAAAGGCATTCCATAATTTTCGAGCTATGTTATTGATATAATTTGAAATGGAATGATAATACATCAAATGTTCCAAACCTACCTCAGTGACCGCTTTGGGTGCTTCTCGTGTCATGTATTGAATGGCATCTTGATCACCGAGCCAATCGGAACCTTTAACCGTATCATACATATGCCAACGCCAATCATCTGGCTCCATATTGCCCAACGCAGCATTAATACCACCTTGTGCAGCAACCGTATGTGATCGGGTAGGAAATAATTTACTAACAACAGCAGTATTAAATCCTTTTTCTACAAGACCAAATGCAGCACGAAGACCGGCACCACCTGCACCAACAACTACGGCATCAAATGTATGATCAATCACCTGATAGCTTTTAAGCTATAAAAAACAACAGGTAAAGTTAGCATCATTTAAATTTAGGATTCTCACATTTGATTTATCATTGCATCGGGAAGTGGTCGAGATATTGCGATGAAAGATTTTTTCTACCATGTCCATGGCAGAATTATTTGTCCTCGATGTCCCACGCACATCACAACAATTCGACCTTAGCCTTATACATTTGTGTAATAAGCGCATCGACATTTTTGCATTGATCAAATTTATCATCCCGATGGTAAATAATAATATGAATATCAATAAAACACAATGTATTAAACTATTCTGGCAATTATAATCGACAGCCAATTGATAAATCGGATTTGTATAAATCTAATGGTGGTGGTATTTAATATTTGCCCTAGCGCACAGACCTACACACAAACATAGACAATCGCGATAGTTGTATTCGATATATCGATAATTTCACAAAATCCTTTGAATAAATCGTTTCGATTTAAATTGTTCATTTGAGGCCTAAAAAAGTCAATTTATAAATTTCATTTTCAAGTTAAATAAAATAAAATCAAAAAAAAATTTATAATACAAAAATTAAATTTCTTTCTTTGCTTGCATGACAGTGAGAATTATAACATGAACAAAATTTAAGTAGGTTGATGAGGATTAACTCCAGCTGATGAGATGAATGGAGAAGGAATTGGCGGTTGCGGCGCTAATACCGGTAATCTGCCAGGTTGGGCTACAGTTGCAATTGTAGGTAATCCAATGGCATTGATTCCATGCGGTAGAGGTGGTGGCGGTGGCGGCACCATATGAACAGGATGAATGACATGAGTTTTACCAGCTGTAATTCCTAAAAATTAAATAGAATAAGATAAAAAAGATAACGCATATATGATAATCGTACCAGCTAATGGAAAATTATAAAACGTTGCCATTGATGGGTCCCATTGATGTGGTAATCCAGCGGCAGAAATTTGGGTTTGTGCAGCTAGATTTGTGACCACAGGAATGGTTGTTGTGTTTGGTGGAACAATGGATGGGGGTACAGTTACAGCAGCAGTAATCGCTGTCGCATTGGAAATCGGACGGAATTGCCCAAGTGATGCGACTGGGACTGCTACTGGCGTTGGCGGTGGTCCAGTAGGTAATGAAGGTTGCTGTTGCTGAAACATTTTTATTGGAGTCGATGGCGACGATTGCGTTGCAGATTGTGATAATTGAGGTTGTGGCGGTGATCGACCTGGTTCTTCATTAGAATTCGAATACAAATCTAAAACCTGATGGCAAATATCTTCAAGCAATTCAACAGAAAGATCTTCGACGTAAATATCCCACCAATGTTTCTGATGTGGTAATCGACCTTCCCAATCGGTTATCTCATAACGAATTTTCGAAGCTAAAAATATCATGGCGATAGCAACTATTTCTGGTTCCCATTGTAAACAAATGGTAGTACAAAGGCTAAAAAAACAGTAAAGATATATAAATAAAGCAAAGGGGTTGATTATTACCTGTCGTTGGTGAATGTCCATGCCATTTGTAACATGCCCTGTATTTTATCTTTATTTCCTTTGAAACATTTAGCGTAGCTAACTAGGTATTTATACGGATGTTCTACTTGTAAATCAAATCGTATCGTTTGCAAAACGATTCGTTCTAGTGTAAGAACTTCTTCTTTTGGATCATCACCAAATGTACCAAATTGATTATCATCCATCAATGTACGAGCAATTTTTATAATATCTTTACATTTTTTAGGCGTTTCTTCAGCTTTTCCGGCTAAAAATAGGCAACAAGCTGCAGTAACATAACGAGGAAAAACTTTGAACGAATGTCGCATGTAAAATCGATGAAAGTATACGACACCGGTGGCCAATGTATCGTAACGGAGCTTCATCTGAAGGCCAGCATTCAAAATGAATCGAGCACCATCATTTCGATACATTCGTTCTTTTTCATAACTTATACCATCCAATATCGAAGGTGTTCGTTTTAGTTCAGTTTTATCATAATACCAATTGTATTGTTGGATTAAACTGGATGATTGTTGATTAGAATTATTTGATGAATTGTTCATCATAGATGAAGAAGCTGATCCTGGAATCGTTTCCGAATCCATTTGTGTCATTCTTATTAAAAAAATTTAGTTTCTTTCGAAAATGCAAATTTTAGAAGATAATTTATAAAAGAATCACTGGATAAATAAATAAAAATAAAAAATTGTTCGAAAATGGGACAAAAATAAATGATCCAACAAGACAAAAAATATGCACAGAAGAATACATGCGAGCGAGCGCTAATGACACACAAATGGATCATTGTGTTGTTTAAATAGAAATTAGAGTAAAAAAATCCTCGAAATATGACGCGATGCGGTTTCCACGATTCATTTAGTTAATAATTTACATTTAGCACAAATTGTCATAGAATTTTATTCATGTTCGTATGAAATTGGGCAAACTATCTCATTTAAAAACAATGGTTCCATAATTGAATTTCGAATTACTGTGCATTGTTATATATTTAAAAAAAAATTTTAGTGGTCAACGTAGATTTAATTGTACAATATGTTGAAAGATCTTACTTCAGTCCGTGATAGTACCGATCAATTGGTACAAAAAGTTCAGTGTTATAATGTAAAACCACTAATTTTGCAAGGTTTTATTGGGCCATTTTTCACACTACAATCAATTTTATGTGTTTGGTATTTTTATTCCGATGAAAATTATTCCGATATTTATATTATCACCGGTGGTACACTTTGTTTATTGCAAGTGCTAACATTCTTATCTGGAATGTGGTCCGTACATTGTCTTTGTTTTCTTTCCTATTCAAAGGTATATTCAGAAGTTTTTTACATTTCCTATAATTCAAATTTGTCATTTGATTATATGTATTTATGGTTTTACAGGTAAGAAACGTAGCCGATGCAGCCTGGGCCAAAGTAGTGCCGACTCCTAATAATGGTTCTGCTGAACTTGTACCATTACGCCATACAAAAATTGATGATAAAGAAACTATTTGGTTTTTGTTTCAAAAAACCAAATATGTTTATGATTATGAAAAACAAACATTTCATCAAATTATATTTCCTACGGATCTCCCGTATAAAACATATCAAAAATGGCATGGCTATCCCAATGATAATGAGCTACAAACGGCAATTAAATTATATGGAAAAAATCTTCTCGACATGGATATACCAGATTTTTGGACATTATTTCGTGAACGAGCAACAGCACCATTTTTTGTTTTTCAAGTATTTTGCGTTGGTCTCTGGTGTTTGGATGAATTTTGGTATTATAGTTTATTCACTTTAATGATGTTGGTTGCATTCGAAAGCATTCTGGTCACACAACAATTGAGAAATATGGCTGAAATTCGTAAGATGGGCAATAAACCATATGAAATGTTGGCTTATCGTAATCATAAATGGCACTCAATTCTATCGTCCGAACTTATACCGGGTGATATTATATCCATCGGTCGATCTCAAGATGATAATCTTGTTCCTTGTGATTTAATACTATTACGTGGTTCATGTATTGTTGATGAATCAATGTTGACTGGTGAATCGGTACCACAGATGAAAGAACCGATTGAAAATCTGACCGATGTCGGTGATCGTCAATTTAATGTTGATACCGATGGAAAACTACATGTTTTGTATGGTGGCACCAAAATTATTCAGCATACATCCCCTGTGAAAAATGCTGTCAGTTTACGAGCCAGCGATAATGGTTGTGTAGCATATGTACTGCGTACCGGATTTCAGACATCTCAGGGAAAATTGCTTCGAACAATTCTTTATGGTGTTCAACGAGTTACGGCCAATAATATCGAGACATTTGGTTTCATCTGTTTTTTGCTTATTTTCGCTATTGCTGCCGCATCATACGTTTGGATTCATGCTTCAGAAGATCCTAAACGAAATAAATATAAATTAATGCTCGAATGTGCATTAATCTTAACATCAGTCGTACCACCGGAATTGCCCATAGAATTATCTTTGGCTGTCAATAGTTCATTGACTTCATTAATTAAGCTGTACATTTTTTGTACCGAACCATTTCGAATTCCATTTGCCGGAAAAGTTGATATTTGCTGTTTTGATAAAACTGGCACATTAACCAGTAATGATCTTGTAGTCGAAGGCATAGCCGGTCTTGATTCACAAAATGATCAAAAAATTCAAGCAGCTCATGAAGTACCAATTGAAACCATTCAAGTATTAGCCACATGTCATTCACTTGTCTGCTTAGACGATGGACTCGTTGGTGATCCGTTGGAAAAATCCACACTCAAAGCAATCGATTGGACATTGACTAAAGGTGATTCGGTCATTCCTCGCAAAGGCAAGCAAACAGGTCTAAAGATATTCCATCGAAATCATTTTTCAAGTCAATTGAAACGAATGTCTGTTATTGCTGGTTATAATGACGTTACATCAGGTGAATCCAGTTACTTTGTATCGATTAAAGGAGCTCCAGAAATTCTTAAACCAATGGTTTGTATTTTTCTAAAATAAATAAAATGTTGAATTTTAATTCTTTCCTTTAGTTTTCGAAAATTCCTTCACAATATGATAACGTATATCTGGAAATGTCTCGTAAAGGTGCCCGTGTATTAGCATTGGGTAGAAAAAACTTGGGCAATATTTCGTCTGGACAAATTAGGAATTTAACTCGTGAAGAAGTAGAAACTGAACTCGAATTTGTTGGCTTCTTAATCATTTCCTGTCCTCTAAAACCTGATTCGATAGCTGTTATGAAAGAGATTATTGCTTCATCACATTATGTTACCATGATTACCGGTGATGCACCACTTACCGCTTGTCATGTAGCTAAAGAGCTATATTTTGTTTCGGATAAAAAACCAACATTGATTCTTCATGGAACGGAAAAACCTGCATGGAAATCAATAGATGAAACGATCCGTTTACCCCTTATACCTGATAAAGAGGAATTTTTTCGAAAATACGAATTCTGTGTAACTGGTGATAGTCTTAATGCATTATTGGATTATGATCCAAAATTTTTTGTAAAAATTTTGCCAAAAATCCGTGTATTCGCACGTGTCGCACCGAAACAAAAAGAATTTATCATAACATCATTACGATCATTGGGTTATACAACATTGATGTGTGGTGATGGAACCAACGATGTTGGTGCATTGAAGCATGCAAATGTCGGCGTTGCCTTATTATCGAATCCATTACCCATACCTAAAACGAAAACCGAAAAGCCACCCAACAACGCTCTAGCTAATAATAATGGCGATTATCGTCGTTCAATCAATGATGTATTAGCCGAGCGGAATACTAATCGTATGTCAAACAATAGTCATCATAAACAACGACGACATCAAGCTCATAATAATAATGCCATGAATCCTTCTTCAGTAAATCCACGTATGGTTAGGACACAAGAACGAATCAATCAATTATTGAAAGAATTAGAAGAACAAGATAAAGCTCAAATTGTCAAGTTAGGCGATGCGAGCATTGCTGCACCATTCACATCGAAGCTATCATCCATTCAATGCAGTAAATATGATTATTTTTTTATCGTGATTTCCGTTTTTCAATGCTAACTAATTAATAATTTTCATACTTTTTATTCTCTATTTTTTTTATTAGTTTCGCATATAATTCGTCAAGGCCGTTGTACATTAGTGACAACATTACAAATGTTTAAAATTCTTGCTCTTAATGCTCTAATTTTAGCCTATTGTCAATCAGTTCTTTATCTGGACGGAATTAAATTCAGTGACGGTCAAGCTACACTACAAGGACTATTCTTGACTGGTTGTTTTCTATTTATCACTCGATCAAAGGTAAATTTTCGTTAACTTAGTGATATTTATTCTGATTTATTAATGTTGTTCAATAGCCATTATCAGTGCTATCTAAACGCCGTCCATTATCCAACATATTCAACCTGTACACAATATTGACTGTGCTGCTTCAATTCGCTGTTCATTTTGTGGCCTTGGTTTATCTAGTCCGTCAGGCAACAGCAATGTCGCCACCACGGGTGGAAAAATTTGCCGATTTAGATACAGAATTCAAACCATCTTTGTTGAATTCGACTGTCTATATAATTTCAATTTCATTGCAAGTTGCAACATTTGCCGTCAATTACAAGGTTAGTGGTTTGTTTTTTTTCTGATTGTGACCGTACTTGATGAATTTGAAATGATTGATTTCATAATTATGTTTTTTTTCAGGGTCATCCATTCATGTGCAGTTTGGCCGAAAATCGTCCACTTTTGTACAGTATTCTTGGCTCATTCGGTTTGGTAATTGTTCTTGTTACCGGTGTGATGCCTGAATTTTCTGAACAATTTTCCGTTGTTGAATTTCCACAGCCGGTAATCATTCAAACTTTTTCAATGTTGAGTTCTTTTTTGACTTTTTTTTATTTCAACAGTTTCAAACGACCATACTAATGGTATTGGCTTCTGATCTTATTGGTGCATTATTTATTGATCGACTATGTGAATTGATTTTGGATCGGTCATCGATGAAATCGATTTAGGTTCTGGTTTATAATTAGAATATTTTTTCAAATTTATTTAAATTGAACAGATACATCTGAATTAAATTTTCAATGAAAAATATCTATTGTATTTTATAATAATCATTTTAATTATTAAAAATATTGAAATTCTAATCAAAAACCCAAAGTTATGGCAGCCGAATTACTTTTTGTCCTAGACTTTGGTATATTATTATCCTTTTCACGTTTAATCGGAAAGTTCATGGATAATGATAAAACCATATTATAAAGGACAAAATCAAACAAACAGAAAATTGTGACCGTTTTGTGATATCAAGATTAAAGTTTTTACTTCTTGGTATGCGATTCGGTCTCAACAAATTTAAATTTAAATTTGTTGTTGTTTTTTCTATAGAATAAATAAAAATTTAGACCACACAGTAAAAAAAATTTTTTGCTTTTCTTTATTTATTCATTTTTCTATCTTCAAATATCCAAAAAACAAACAAACAATAACCAGACATGATAATCAAAAATTGTAACGAAGGACAACTTATTTGAAGGAATAATAATAATAATAATAATGATGATGATGATGCGATGATGAATGATGTTGATGTATACAAAATGGTCATTTATGGTCAGATTGGTCATCAAATGATTCAAATCATCATCAACAATAGTAATGATATAATGATTATGGTTGAAAACCATTGACTTGAATGATGATTGAATGTAATGGCTGAATTGCCTAGATTACAATAATTACTTCTACAGCAACTAGCACATATGCTTAGCTTAGTTTTTTCACCTATATTTTTTTGTAGATAAAAACGATGGGTATGAGAATAAATGGATGATTATCGTTAATATTTCGACTACCAAATATTTTAAAGAAGGTAAAAAAACTTACCATTACCGATGATAAAACAACCATCCGTGCATTGTTCAGCACAACCACGTTTTAAGGCAAAAAAATTAAACTCTTGTACATTGTCTGGTGCGCTAACGCCTAATCGTATGACTACACAATATTGTTCGTTTGGTGTACAATCAGCACGAAATTCATTCATCAGATTTGGATTCTTATGACCCGCATTATTTGTTGTCGTGTGACCATCATTTGATGACGAAGCTGTTGCTAGAACATCATAGCTACTACTATCGGAGGATAAGATCGATTCAAGTGTATAATGATTATGATTTGGGTTATGATGATGATGGTCATGATTCAAATATCCGGATGTATCACTATCGAATCCCATCATAGAATTGTCATCATTGCCAGTGTTACCGCCTATTTCTTTCTGTTGTTGTCGATGAATGCGGTTGATCGTTTCATTCAGATATTTGCAATTAATATCATCGATTGTAGTGCAAACGAAACAAGATAGATTCGATACGAGTAGCATTTCTGAAACGTCAACTCCAATATTGCCAGTGATTACTTCGCTGTTCATTCCTTTCGAGATCATTCAGAATTTATGGTCAATACTTTGGAATGATAATAATAATCTTAAATAAACTTACTTGATAAAGCTGCTGAAGTTGAAGTAGCCATTATAATCAACGATGGTATTATTAACATCCATATAATTGTCAATAGCTTTAGCATTAATGAACATTTACCAAAATTTGAAAAAGATTCAAATGTCGTAGACGGATTCAATGGCATATAGGAAAGTGTATACATTTTTGATTCAAAATTTGATTGTTAAATTTTCACTTTTTTTACTCAATAAATTATTATTCATACAATGAAATGAATCGAAAATCTTAATTAGTTTTGTACTTTTTTATACAATCATATGTGTTGAAATGTTTTTATTCTATTCTATAGCTATAGTAAGTCATACTAAAACTAAATCAATATAGTGGATAGATCAGACTGATGAATTGACCAGAATCGCAATAATAAAATGAGCGCATGAATCTTGAAATTCGTCGATAGAAAAAAAAATATTCATTTTCCAACCACCACAACTAACGAAGAATATTGACATGACGCCCAAATTATATAGTGAAAATTTGTGTATTCAATGTTAATGGATGACAACAAAAATTTTATTCGAGAGTAAATCAACTTGAAATATTTTTTTTTTCAAAAATTTTTATTATTCATTTTTCAACAGGAAAAAAAATTCGGCACAGTAGAATGAAAAAAAGTAATAAATAAATGAAAAAATATAACAAATAAAAAAAGGTTTGAATAAAAGCCCATCGATTTCACGCGCCATTCTTATTTGACTTATAATCAAGATGATTTATATAGAAGAATGGTTAAATCTTTGTACAACATTCGGATATAATTTGACTGCAATGTTGGAAAAAAATTAAATTAATTTTCAATCAAAATTTTTAAAAAATATGTTTATTAAATGTAAATGGCGTTTTACCTTGGTATGAGTTACACAGGAACCCCAATTTCGCCCCACAATACAATGCCATGTGGGCTCATAAAGTTGATCAAAATTTTGTTTAATACTTTCGGCTATATGTTTTTCGGTTGTATATGTACGTAATGCATGTATTGTTGATTGCATTGCTGATTTTTGTATTGATGTAGGCATATCGGCTGCTTGTATTTTCAATTCTAATGATGGATCATCATCAGCAGATGAAACATCTGTAGAATTATTGTCGCTAGATGAATTTATTACATTAACATCATGATGATTGACATTACGACCATTATTAATGGAAAATCTTCTTTCAAGATCTTTATGTGCACTTAATAGCCTTATTTTAGGTCTATTAGTATATTGTTGAAAAGAAAAATATTCCGGTACAAATTTATTTTGTAAATATGTTTTTTTTAAACAAAATTAAAGCTAAAAATATATTCATTATATCAAAACATATAATAAACTTACAGGTAACCACTTTGTCCTAGATCACCTGAATCAAGTTTCCCATTAATGCCATTACTATTGGTTGGACTTGATTTTGAATTCGAAACAGGCGCAGCTGCCATCATCGAACCTCTATGATAATGTGCCGATGAATTACCGATCATCGATGGAAAACGAGATGTTGATGGCCTTTCGATCATGTATTCGAAATTTTTTACACTTAATAATTCTAGTTATCATTGGAAAAAATAATAATCATAATCACTATTTTGATTGATTTATTTATTTATCTATTCATCTACCTTTACGTGCTCTTCGATAAAATGATACGGCACAAATGACCGAATATACACGTAACGAGGTTAAAAATGTTACAATCACAGAAACAAATATATCGATAACACCCGTACTCGACTATTTATAATGATAAGATGAAAGAAAAGTGTAGGATTTAAATTTAAAGAATTTAAAGATATGAAATAGAAATACCTTCATACTGGCTAAACGAAGTGCAACATGAGCCGGTAATTGATTATATTCCAATGAATGTATAGGTATCCGCATGTCACGAGGAAAATAATGATCACGCATCAAATACTATTATAGAGAGGTAAGAGGGTTTTTCCCATTCATATTCCAAAATTGACAATTCAATCGATCAATTAAAGAATTTAAATAATTTTTTTCCTTACCATTATGATTCGAACCATAACAAAACCAGCACTGGCAGCAATATCAACAGCAGCAAATATGGCCAACAAAAGTACCGTTTTCAATGATATATCTTGCTGTGATCATTTCAAGTTATTTTATGATTTTGTTTCCGAAAAAAGGGGGCAAACAAAAAAAACGAATTTAAATTTAGAAAAAAAGAATATAAAACACTTCCTGTTGACAAAAATAAAATTTTTTTTTGATTTTACTATTTGATTGATTGATTTATCTCCTAAAACCGCTAGATATAACACTACTGTAAATTTAAATTTTGCTTTTTCCTTAAACAAAACAAAACGAAACAATTTCATACATTTTGGAGATGCTTTCAAGTGTGATGCTTAAAACTAATTTTAGATTTAGATTATTGTTCTTCTTTAGAAACTTACCGGTGTGTTTGTTGCTCGAATAGCATAGGCCATCCAACACCAACTGTTTGGGATATGAAAGGCAAAAAAAGTATGGTAAAATGAATTAATTGAGAGAAAAAAATCTATTAAAAATATTGTAAGAAAAAATTATCCTATATTGATGATGGGATTAACAAAATTCAACGTTTTTTCAATTCAATAAGAACAATAGTAATACATGACAACAACAAAAAAACGTGCCACAATGATTGAATGTTTAAAATATTTTCTTCGCAATCAATTATAAATAATCGATCAATTGACCGATCAATGAAACGATATTCACCATCATGGATAAAAGGAAAAAAAAGTGTACTACATTTTTTGTTCACCCCAATTTCTTCTCACCGTATATTTCGATCTGATTTTTTTTCGGGAAAAAAACATTCATCACGATCGACTCATCAAACTTTTCTTTGAATTTTTTCCGAAATTTCAATTTAATTCAAGCATTACGCTTTCGTTTTCACATATGGTGATCACATTTTTTTCAACGAAATTTTGTCATTTTCTTTACCGGTCGCAAGATTGAGAAGGATATGAAGAAAAAAAACGGAAAATTTTCCTACAGATCGACTGAGTGTGCCGACTTGTTGATTATAATCAAAATCGATAAATACTATCATCGATTGTTCTTGTCTATTTTGGTCTTTTATTTTATCGTTGTTGATGTTGCAGATTTTACAATTATGTCATATCAAATCAAATCAATTTTTTTCAAATTGTTTGTTCATCAATACGAAAAAAAAACAATGATAAATAAATAAAACAAAAGCCATTTTCTTTTCAGTATAATAAATTCTGAATTAAACAATAAAAAACCGTTTGAAAAAATAGCCTTTGTTAATGTGTGTAAACTTTGCTATAGCGTATTATTATCCTAATCATCATTTGATGATTTTCAATTCATAGTGACACATTTCCACTCAAAAGTAGAGATGAGCTCAATTATCTATAGATATTTTTTTCCACTTGAACTATTTTAAATTACGAAACAATAGCCTTTATTTGCGAAAAACTTGTTGAACACGTGTTGATTAGTAATAGCTTTAAAGCTATCATTATTATTATGTTCTACTTTCAACAGATTCCGAATTGAGATATATAAAATAAACAACAAACATGTGAAGCAATGATAAGTCAAGATTTTCATTCTTAGTAATGAAGATAGATGTCTAATCTAGTTATATAAATGTCTGTGTGTGTGCGAAATGCATTCAATATATCCGTAACGAATATGGATATCAGTTTCGTTGTTATCTCATCATTTTTTTGAGGATTTCGATTACATGAAATATCCTTAACATTTTTATGCGATTAGTTTTTTACAAGACTAATAAATGTAAATTACAATAATTTAAATGAAATCGAAATTTAATTTTTTTGTTTAATTTTGTCTTTTCAAATACTGACCTTAATATGTAGACCAAAACAAACACTAGGCTCAATAATAATGTTGTCCGTGATGCCATCAATTCACCTGTTTTGTAAATTTTTTGTATCGAAATGAAAAATATTTGTTTTTAAAATTTAATTTTAGATATTTTAGAAATTGTAAATTTTTTTTATCATACTCATCAAAACATCAACATCTTCTTTTAGATAAGTGATGATTGAAATTATATTTGCCAATTCGATTACATCATGATTACTTGCGGCAAATTCCTGAGGTTCATCAACATTATTTTTATGATCATCATGATGAATTATTATATTTTTAACTGGTGATAATCGATTTTGTTTATGATTGGTAATTGGTTGAGTTTTTAACTGTTGATTATGATGTAAATTTGTAGAAGATCCATCATCAACAATAGATGTTGATGATTTCGGTTTGTTTGTTGGTTGATGATGACGACTAGCTAATTTTTGATTATTCTCTAATGGTTGTGATTTTCTTTTGGCAATAATTGGTGATGAAATTGGCCGTAATCGATAATTGGTGAACGATGATAAATCATTGAATAGATCTTTTTCTTGATCTAAACTTTTTTCTTCATCAAAAATTTCATTTGAATAATTGTCTTTAGTATTGGTGGTAATGATAGTGGTATTTTTGGCAGTTTTTGTTGTGTTCAATATCAATGAATATAGATTATTATTGTAACCATCATCATTATCGTGATGACCATCTAATGGACGGCTATCCATTCTTCGTTTTGATGGTTCTGCATCAATAACAGCAGCAGATGATGATGATGATAATAACTGATGATTGACTGCTTGCTGTGATAGCCATTCATTGGATATATAATGTAGATAATTGATTTCACGATCAACATCATGTAGTTTACAGATGAGCAACAATAATACCAGAAAAGATATTCCCTATTGATAACAAAAAAAATCAATAATTGAGATGACAACAAGATAATGGAAAAAATCAAATTAGTTTTCAGTAAAAAAAATTGAAAAAAATGGTCGAAAAAAGGATTTTACTAGAAAAAATAAATAATTATTTGTCAATTCAATATCGAATCCTATTACAAAATCCTATCTGATCTAATTCATCCATAATAATTGATCGATACGAAAAAAAATTATGGGCGCACGAATTTACAAGTAGGCTGTATTGTATACAACGTATACGTGTGTGTGTGTGTGGGCATAAAATTGCAATCTAAATCTTTCATCGGTCGGTTTTATGATTTTTTTTTTGCTATTCAGGATTAATCAATGACTGTAAGCAATGATTTGGATGATGATGAGATTGTCCAGGAAAAGTTGTTGAAACTTTCATTGATCTTATCATCACCATCATCATCGTATCCGCATTCATAGATATTAATAAAATCATAATCATAATTAAACGAAAGCAAAAAAAACTGGTTGTAAATATGAATGTCGGACAAGCCAATGATTTTTTATTTTGTAAAATTTTAAAAGGATAGGGATGAATGGAGAAAAAAGATTCAAAAATTCGACATTGGAATGTTTTCGTTGTTGTTTTTTCCCATCAATTACCACGTGTTGTAATTAATTTCAAAATTATTCAATTTTTTATTTTTATTATTTCAATCCGGCAATTTGTGAACCATGCTGATGCTGATGATTATAATGGATCGATGTTATCTTTTATGCATGATAAAAATCATAATAATTTTTGTCACCATATAGACGATCAGGAAGAATGTAAGAGATAATCATTATCATATATAGCTATCGGATGTTTATTTTTCTTTTTCAAACTTGTCATATGAAAATGAACTTGCATTTTGAGAATATAATATTTTACTTTAAATGATTATCTACATACAATTATAGGTCGTAAATGAAAGATTTCTCTTTTTTTCAAAATATTTTTGTTGTTTCATCAATTCATTCATAAATCTATGATGATGATGATGATGATGATCAAGATTGAATCAGGTCAACAATGAACCAATGAAAAATAAACATAAACAAACAATGTATTCAGGTAAAAACAATCCATTGGTCATGAATATAAATTTTTTCTATAAATTATAATGAAAAGTAGGAAGAAGTATAATAGAAATTCTGCTATTTTTTCATATCATTTTTATATAGAAAAAAGGGTTACTAATAATGGAACTTGACTGAAATCGAAAAATTTTATAAAGATTAATTTTTGTTTTTGAAATAACAAATTATTAATCCACACTTCACATTATTAAGTATGAAGTTTTCGTATATTTTTTGATAGCTGACCTCATCACAACGATCATTTGATATTTGATAGCGTTCTGTCAGATATGATGATCTACAAGTAAAACAAAAATGTCTATCTATCGATTGATTGAATTGAATTGAAAACAAACGATTCGATTGGCGATAGAAAAAAAGCCGTTTTTATTTTTATGACCAATTGAAGTGAAAAAAAATTCAATGACAAAATCAAGATAAACTTAAACACGAACATAGAAAATCCATGTATTAGATTTATATCATCGAACAATCGATAGATTGAATGAGAGAGAAACATCTAAAAACATCGAGAGACAGAACGACAAAATGATTGATAAAATTGATACCTATTGCCATTGGGTCAGTAACAACAACAAGTGAAGAAGAAGAAAAAAACTTATCGAAACTGTTCGTTTTAGAATTATCATTCATGTTTAATGTGGATTTCAATCTTATCATCATCACGAATATACATGATTTTCATCTTTATTATTTCTAAATATTATATTCAAATATAATCGCTCTTTTTCTTTTTATGTATAAAATATATCCATAAAGATGTTACAAGATGTTATCAATTCAATTTTTATGCAAAATTTTTCTCTTTACACATTGAATCCAATGTATTGTATAAAAATAAAATTATATTAGTATCAATGATAGTATAATCATTGATTTGATTGCTTTAAGCATCGATCGCACAATGGACAACCAAATCGATGTATTGCACACAATAATAAGGAAAAAAAACATTTTTTTTTTTCTATTCACAATCGAAAAATCGTAAAACCACAATTCATAATGAAAATTAAATTTAACTTTAATTTAAACAAAAATAGTATTTTTTTTTGATGATGTAAAGAAAAAAAATGGATATATTCGCATACAATACCGAAATTGAATTTGTATTACAAACTAACCGATTCAGCGAATTGATTTGCTTTGTTTTGTTTTGTTAGAAGAAAAAATCTAAATAGATTTTGATTTAGGCAATCAATTCATAATCAAAGTAAACAAGAAAAAATGCAAATCGTTTGTATACCGAAGAACAAACAAAGCAAACAAATGTATGGTTGAATCGACAAATAAAAAGTGATTAAGATCAAAACAATGGCATGTGATGGCTAAGTGAAAATTGTGTTGGATAACTTTTTTGGCTGTTGTTGGTCGACAAATCCATCATTCAAATGAATTGTTTATGATGTATGGCTTATCAACGTTATTGAATTTATATTTGATTATCATCATCATCATAAACGAATAAACTTGTTTATCAAATGAAGATGAGCCGAAACGAACCGAAAAGAATCAATCGATCGATCAATTGACCCAAAACTTTTTAGCTATTATATAATTGTAGTTGTCGATTGTTTCAACAAAGTTATCGTTATTATTTTTAATGAAGAATTTTTCATATTTTGTTTCATGTATGTGTGTATGTACACATTCTTTCATTCATCAATTCGATTCGATAATTTTGAATGGTGAAAACAAAAAAGAAACAACAGCAAATAAAATTACCGAAATGAATGACCGACCGACCCGAATGATGATGTTGTTGTTCAAACAAAATGATTAAATTTCCAAACTACAAAGATTAGTTTATTATCATTATTTTTTTTCATATTTTCGACAAGTATAAATGAATCATAAAATTTTAATCACGCTCTTTCTTGATTCAAATGCCTGACAAAAAACCCTTGATTTAGCCAAGAAAGAACAACGATTGAAAAGTTTTTGTTGCTGTTGTTTAGTTTCATGTCAAACATCTGAAATTATTTAATAATTACTAAGAATGACATTTTTTTGTCTATCAACGGACATCATTGTCATCTTCAAGTAGATTTTTGTTTCTTGATTTTTTTTTTCTGGCTGTCAGTTGTTGTGGATACTCACAACGAGAAAAAGTTTTACTTAATTTAAAACTATTATAATCATCATCATCATCATTATGATTATGAATCTGATAATTTAAATCAAGAGACATGATGACAAATGATAATTGTCCATCACATCATTATAAATATAAATAAAAAACACTGAAAGAAACAAAATTGAATTATTTCAGGCACGTAAAAACTACCATAATTATATAATCTCGGGTTTTTTTTCATCAAAAAAACGGAATTCCTGTTCGTAAATCTAAATTTAAACAAAGTCTTTAAAAAAGTGAAAATTTTCCCTTTTCCATTCGTCTATGAATGATGATCACTAAATCACGTATTCGGTAATCTTTATCAATGAATTTTCCAAGATTTTATTCTCTACACGATGGATTTTTTGTTTGCCCAATAATTCAAGAAGAAATTTAATAATTTCATTCTAGCCTAAAGATAGATAGCTTTTTAGATGTGTTCAATCATGATGAATCGAACATTATAATCAATCAATCAATCAATCGATTATGATTAGAAAAGGGTCCTTTTGATTATTTGAAAAAGCAACGAAATCGATTCATTTAAAACTAAATATTGAACTTGAAATCTACATTTACAAACATTGATGACAGGATAGAATTATGATAATTGATATTAGCTCAAATGTTTTCAAGTAAAATGAAAAAATTCCGTATTACATCTTGATATTTATTGTGTGTTTGTGTCGTTGATTGGTTTTTCATTTTTATTCTTTTTTTTGGAAAACAAAAATTGGTTGATGATCTCAGAAAATGACATTTATTTTTGTTTTCATTATCCAAATATATGAGTTCAAATCAAAATGTCAAATCATTCACCAAGTATAACAATCTGTAGTTGACAATTGTTAGATGATAAATAATCTCTATGTAGATTCACATAAAATGACAATAATTTACATACAATTGATGCCGTTTTCCATGATTGTAATCGATTACCGAGCTGCTGTAATTTGACACTTGAATTGAATGCATGAAATGATGATTGCAATGGTAATGATGATGACGATAACGATGACAAACAATATGGATAGGATGTTGAATAATATCTTGGATAATTATGTGCTGGATATAGTTTTAGATGAGAATTTGATGACTGTAATGGTGGTGGTGGCTGTAGACCAGAACGATATGGAGAATAATTTGGATTGGCTATACTGTAAATTGGTCTTCTATATGATAATGATGGCCTATGATAATTTGATCCATGTGGATTTTTTGATGTTGATCGTCGATTCATCGATGATGGTGATGAGGTATTTGATGGACAATTTGTACTATTATTTTGTTGATGATGTAATAGATTATGGTTTCCGTTTCCTGCCCCACCACCAGCACCACCACCACCACTATTGTTATTTAATGGATTTGGCATTGATGTTGGACAATAATAACTTACAAATGAATGATATGGTGTACTACCGCTACCGGTAGATTTATTATTAGAAAATAAATAATTCAAATAAGGGTATGAATTTCTATCCATATTCATTGGTTTCCAGTTGAATTTTGGAAAATTTATGCGTGTAATTGATACACACACAAACGCACATCAATCATCATTTTAACACAATTATCACAAGTAAAATCACTAATAAATCCAAATTCTCAATGATGTTTACAATATTAATATCATTTCTGTAGATAATTTATAATTGATATTTTTTTCAAAAAAAAATTCTCACCAAATAAAAATTAACAAAACAATAATAAACAAAACATCGAAACAATTATATCATAATTCCAGTTGAATTTTTTCGAACATGATTTAAAGATCATTTTGTTTTTGTTTTTTTTTGTTTCAATGTAACAATATCGGTAGAAAAAAAAAATCCAATTACTTGAAACAAGCCGACACAACCATTAACAACAGGTCTTGCCATACTAATGGGAAAATATTTATTTCATTCATTGAATTTAGAAAAATCTTAACGAAGAAATCATCATCGAGAAAAAAAGAGTCATGAAAAAATGAAGAAGAGAAAATTCTTCTTCCGAGACTAGACTAATAATAAGAGAGAAATAGATTGAAAGTATAGAGTGAGAGTATGATGCCAATACAAGTTTCAAGCCTTCAAACACATCTATCGGATATTCACTTATATAAAGTGTTGAAAAAAAACAAAATCACATCATTTGAAATATTTGTTGTTGTTGTTGTTGCAATGATAATGATGGCTACTACTCATTTTATACGGCAATTGGTCAATAAATAAAAGAGTGAATTTATTTTCAATCATAATAATAATTATTGTTACAATAATAACAACAACAACAACAAAATGATAATTCATCATCAAACCAAGTTTAATTAAGAAAACATCATTCATTTTCAGTTCATTATTATTACCTTTTTTTCTTTTAAGATTGGGTCCACAAATTAAATGTTTTCATTCTTGAATGAAAAAAAAGACCGGTAGCAAAAAAAAAACAAAAATAACACCAAATAAATAGAAAAAATAAACCAACGCAGATACACTTTTTAATAGATCTCCCCTTTTTACCGTTCAAAATAATGTGTATAAAGAAAATCTAATTGAACTATTGATAAATGAAAATGAATCGATTCATTATAAATTGATCGATCGATCCATTTATAATGATTTTTTTAAGTTTGCGCTATATATTAGAAAGTGAAGTGAAAAAACCACAATTATAATTGGTTATATTTAAAGTTTTTTTTATTTCATCGGAAACCGAACACTGATTAAATCATCCAATCATTAACCAAATGGAATAAATCTGAAACCAATTATATTGTAGATCAACGATTTGCTACCAAATTAAAAATTGTAATATTATCCGATCCAAATATATCTCTAATACACAATCTCTATAGTATTTCAATGATAATTATAGTGTTTAATGATAAAAAAAATGTCTAATTTCATTAACATTTTCAATGAAAAAAAACAAATTATTTCGAAAGATTAATTAATTAGTCAAACACATTTCCCAAAATATAATTTGGTGATAAATATTCCAAGCCATTTTCAACTGAAATATTTGTTCATCTTTGATAATAATCGAAAACAAAAACAACAACAGCAAGGCCATCAAAGTTTTGCTCTCATACGACAATGTTGACCGAAGTGTTGAAAATAATCGGCCGACTGACCATGGAAATTTCAATTCAAAAATTCAAAAATTCCACAAATTTAGCAACAATTATTTCAAATTATTCAAATTGATGTAAGGAAATTGAAACAAAAAAAAACTATTAGTTAGATTTGTTTAAGTCTGGTTGAATAATGAAGTGTCTTCATAATGATAATTGAACCGTTAAACTGTAGAAATGGAACAAAACAACAACAACAACAAAAACACTAACACAGGACAGGTTTTTGTTTACATAAGAAGACACATCAGATATATTAGTCAATCAGTGGTTTTCAACCTTTTATTGTTTTCCATGCCAAAAAAACAAAGATATATGAATTTGATATGATATAAATGATAAAACATCCTGTTGAAATCATCTGATTTTACGTAAAACTTGTTATTTATATGCATGCATTACTAAGTATAGCATTGTTTGAAATGGAGAAAAAATTTCACTTTCATTCATTCATTCATGAATCATATTATTGTTGTTTTGAGAGTTCAAGTTCTTAATTGAATATACAAGTCAATGATACGGTTATAACTCTATCCTATTTTGTTATGATGATGATAATAAATGAAAATGGAAATTGACGTACACGTTATGCTTGAGAGATGATGTTCTATTGAAACGTAATTCAATTCTCAATCAAGATTTTAGAGTTGTAGAAAAAGTTATTGACTTTACTCTTCTTCTTGGTCTTCTTCGTTTTTTTTTTGTCATTTTCCGTTTTCTCACATATTGTATCCCAGTAGAAGCGAAGAGAAAGAAATCACTTAAGTGAAAAAATAGAAAATAAACAAAGCTTGATCGATGTAAATATTATATCTGGTTCAAATGTTATTTATGCCCAATATATATTGTCATCAATCCGATCGTTGAGAAATGAAGAGAGAAAAAAATATACGATATTCATTTTATCACTCATAACACGGGATATGAACGATAAAAATCGAGACCATCGATATATAAATTACCCCGAAAAAAACACACACACGCACTCAGACAGAACAATTTCTACATTTGAAAATTTTCCGACAATTTTCATGTTTTTTTTTTCACCCAATTTTTCAAATTGATTTAGCAAAAAAGAAAAAAGATTTACCAAAATAATCATTCAAAATTATTTATTGAAATTTTCTGATCTAATTGCAAGCTTTTTATTTTTAAATTCTTTCACATGGTACAAAATTCATTAGATAAAATATTGACAAATTATCAAAACCGATGAATGAAAAATGAAAATGAAATGATAATAATTTCATTCGATAAAATCTAAAAGAAAAAAAGATCTGTCTATTGATTAAATTCATTTCATCGTCAATCATAATATTAAACAAACAAACAAATCAACAACAGAAGAAAATGGAATGAATTTTTATGAAGGAAATTCAAAACATAGATAATCGATGATGATGATGATCGATCGATCGATAATATCGTTTGACCGATATTAATCAAAAACAATCAAATCATTTATGAAAAAATAAATATTAAAAAAATTGAAAACCTAACCCCAGAAAATCAAAACAAGATAACATCGAAATTAAAATTCATGGGATGGGAAGTATAATTGAAACAAAACTACGAAAAAAAGAAGAAATTTTAAACGATTTGATGGAAAAAAATGAAAAAAACGACCACAGATAAAAATTGTCACAGAAAAAAGTTGATGAAAAAACTATTACGAATTCATTTCTAATCAGTAACAAAAATAATGAGAATTGAGCAAGAAAGAAAAAAACGGAGCAACAGTTTAATGAGAATGGTCAACATATTTTTTTTTTGTTCTTTAAAGAAAAAAGCCCATACTTCTCATCTCAAATGACGACGATTATCATTGTCTATTAAATAGCTGATTAGCCTTGACAATGGAGATGATTATTTATTTCAATGGTTTACTTATCTTTGTATTCTTCTTAATTTTTTTTCTCATAAAAATGGATATTTAAGAAAAAAAAGCGAAATTAAGATTGCCGCATAATAATAAAAAATGCATCATCTTCATTCAACTATATTCGTTAATCGTGAGTAGCTTTAGCTTGATATGCTTTAGTATGAATTTGAAAAGAACATTAAAAAAAATCAAATAATGTGTGTTTGTTGTGCAAACCAAGTGGCCAAACAGCAATAACAACAAAAAGCCGTGACTGAATGATGAATACATATTATCGATTCGATTAGATAATTCTGGTTTCATAAATTAAGACAGAGAATTTGAGAAGAAAACATATTTAACCTAATTTTCACAGCTGAAAAAAATTCGTGATTTATTAATTCGATCGGCCATCTATGAAGATCTATTCAATAAATATATTTTCTTCATTGATACGATATCGGTCGCATATTGTACAGTTACTTTTCTTTACTTGTAACAAAAAAAAATCTTTCTATTATTAGATAAAAGTTCTATTTGGACGGCTGTAATAATAAATTTTTTGTTTCAATTTTTAAAAAATATGAAAATTTCATTACGTAATGCTTTGTTGTTCGTTGTTTTATTTTCGAATTTTTTTCTAATTTCATTACTGACAATTGCCATCGTTCTTTTTTTTTCTTTGTTGTTGTTCATCATTCATTTGACCACACATATTACATTTGTTATTTCAATCTTATATCATCATCATTATTATTATCATCTTAGCATCGATATGATATAAACTTTTCTTTTGTTTTAATTTCATCATATAAACATAAAATAGATATAGTCTATTCATATTATTTTGACACAAAGAATGAATATTGTCTGATTTAAATTAATCATACTTTGTAAATTTTTTTTTTGAAAAATATTTTTATATTTTCGTAAAAATGTGACAAATGATAATATTTGCGAAGGCAAATCTGTCAGTTTTTTTTTGTTACATGATATTTTTGGCAGATATTGCTCTAATTTTGGATTTTTTTTTCTTTTTTACAACCTTGTAAGCTTATTCGAGCAAGATTTTTTTTTTGTTTTTGTTTAAATAAAAATTAATTTAATTCAAAAATAATAAATGTTGATTGTTTTCTTTTGTTTTTTGTTGCTTGTTGAAAAACAAACGATTTCATTTCATTTCGTATCATTATCAAATGTGATTATTAGAATAATGATTACCATTTTCATCACGGAATACACGAATTTTCTTCATTATTATCATCCACATCAATTGAATTGAATTGAATAAGATAATTACAATTATTACAATTTAGCTTTTAATGATAAAAAACGAAATACTGGGATAGTGTCGCCATCTAATGTTCGACAATTGTGAGCTTTAAGAAAATAAAAAATATTCAAAAAATTAACTTACCGCCGCATATCGACAATGTTCGGATACTTGTCGTTTATTATTATAATTTTCCAATGCGCCTAATCGTCGACTTAATCGAAATGAATGTGACATTTGTTTTTTTTAATGATGGATAATTAATTAATTAATCAATTAATGAACGTTGATTAATGAGAATGAATAAATGATTTGGATACGATAGTTTTATCTTTTTTGTTTGTTCAAAAATTTGTTTGATATTTCAAACATTGTTTGATTGATTTGAAAATCATCGTCATCATTTGAAATGGACAAAAGTAGATAACATTGTAAATTGATCATCATAAACATTGTTTTTTGAAATGAAATTTATTATATTGTCGTTATAGAACAAAAATCATTACATCATCATTGTATTTATTAACAACAGCAACAAAAATTCTAAGAAAATACAAATTTCACTTTGAATACAAATGAAAACAACATACGGACTTTAATATAAATCAGAAAAAATTGATATCAAACAAAAAAAAAACATTGACCATGTTTTCACCCGAAATATCAAACACTAAATGAAAATAACCAGATTACATCGACTATCTGGATCCTATCCATACGAATAAAATGGATTACACACACTTATTATTTGTTGTTAGAGTTGGAAAAAATGTCAACTTTTTTTTGACAAGCAAACGAAAAGAGAAAAAAGATAAGAAATGGAACAAAATAAATGAATGAATAAATGAATTAAATGGTGAATGAATTAAAAAAAAGGTTGAAACAACAACAACAATTCAAGATAATAGTAGGCATGTCCAGTGTGTCCGGATAATTTATTTTTCATATTTTTTTTCTACGTTTGTTTCATTGCACCAAGCTGTGCTTGTATTTTATTATATTTGTAAGCCTGGAACATAAAATGACCGAAAATATGTTTTTTTGCAAGCTTGAATTTCTGTGCTGAGAAAATTATTATTTTGATTTGCTATTGCTGTTGCTACTGCTGGGAGCGGAGAGAAGAAACATTTTTTAGAATCATCATCATCTTTTTGGGCGATTATACATTTAAGCCATAACGAATAATTTATATGAACTGGACTTACAATGAAATGACCGTTATGATTATGATGATTATGATGATGATGAAAGAAAGGCGATGATAGACAGGTTATATAAATACAACAGGTAGCAACTGCTGTATGCTGCTGCCTGTTGTATATAATATTTTCCCAATGCATTGTTGCTTGTAATGATAATAAAATTTTGAATATTCAAACAGATATTTTATTACGACAATTTCACCCGTATATTTTTTGTTTTGTTTTGTTTTCTCCCTTTATCTTGTTACAGGTTGTTTATGTTGCTTATGTTTCTCTTTTCTATTTTTTCTTTTCATTTCTTTTATATATCAAAAATTCATTCATTCAATATTTCGAATCTGATTGAATGTAGTGATGACAATAATAATTTGTCCATCAAATATTTTCTTCGAGATTTGTCACCTGTCAGGAAGCCATTGATTGAAATTTGATAATGATAATAATAAAATGTAGATTCTGATTCTCTTTCATCGATTTATTGATCCGGTAAACATTAACTGTTGACAATTTTTTCTTTTTTGAAAAAAAATTTGTTGACAAATTTTCACCACTTGTCAAATTGGCCACATTTCTCTTTTTTTCTATGAATATTTTTTTCTATTTACTAAATGAATGATGAAATAATGATGGTCATCATCATCATTATCATTGTCATCAGATGCATTAAATGATCATAATAATCATTGTCTTCGTTTAGATGTTTTTTTCTCGATCAAAATTTTCCTTTCAACTTTTTTGTATCTTTTTTTTCGAAAAAAAATTCATTTCATTGACGATTGTTTTCGAAAGAAAAGTTTTATCAATAAATAATGAGAAACTTTTATATCATGAAAATGTCATTGAAATATTGAACATGATAATATGTATGTATAAAGAGAAATATTCCTAGTTGGAAAAAAAGTGTCAATGACGGATATTATGAATTGAATACACTACCTAACACATTTGACATTTTGAATTGGTGTATACGGAAATCCAATTCATTCATTTATCATTCAATTTGAATAGTCGACAAATTTTATTATTATTATTGATATTTATTCATTGTTATTAGAATTACATTTCTAACTTGAATTATAAAGAAAATTTTAAAACTATCATTCGTATTTATCAATTCAACAATATTCTTGTGTTAGTATAAACTTATCACAAAATTAGTGATTGGCAGTTATTTGAATGATAATTTACCTGATGATGATTACATTTGATTTATAATGAATTAAAAATAATCGAAAAAAATTCGCCGATTATTTTCAATGAAAAAAATGTTAAAAATGAAATTCATAACATTATCGAAAAAATGTCTAATGTATATACACAAAATGTCAATGATATTTACAACGAAAAAAAAACTTTGTATGATCGTAAAAAATTAAAAAAAAACGGAAAAATTAAGGCAAAAAAATCATCAAAAAAATTAATAAATACAACTAATATAATGAATGAAAAATGAATTGTTAAATTATGACTGGATTTAAAAAAAACCATTTTAAAAAATTATTATTAGTCCATGTGTTGAGGCAAACAATCGATGATTTTGATTCATCAATTTTGATGGCGAATCGTTATGACTATGAAAAAAACAATTCATATTCCCGGTAAATAGAAAGACGATATACTCATTTATCCAATGGCAATATTATTTGTATAAAGGTTGATTATATTACTAAAACCCATTCGCGGTGTAACATAAAATCCTCGTATCAGATCTGATGCTTTTTCACCAATCATAATGATCGGTGCATTTGTATTTCCACTAGTTATTCTTGGCATTACCGATCCATCAACTACACGTAATCGTCGTACACCTTTTACACGAAGTTCATGATCAACGACTGCTGTTGGATCACTTGGACTACCCATTTTACAAGTACCGACTGGATGATAAATAGTTACGGTGAATATTTGAGCTAAACATTTCATATAGTTACGACTATATAATGGATATAATTCACATCCTGTGTTTTTTGGAAAAACAAAAATGGATTTTATTTAGAATAATTATTTGTTTGGAAAATTGATTATACCTGGTACAACAATTTCACTTGGTTTTGAATTGTATTTTTGCCGAAACGGTGCTGAATTTCCAATTCTAAATGAAATTTCCATAGCATCGGCCATTTTTTCCAAATCTTCTGGATGAGTAAAATATCGTGGATTTATTATGGGGTGATGATATGGATTGGCACTTCGAAGTTTAATATATCCAACACTTTTTGGCTTTAACATGACAGGCAATAACGTGAAACATTCTTTCTGTACAAATGGGAAAAATGATTTTTGCCATTGAAAATCCGTGATACCGATGTTTCTACGGAATACATAGCCATCATCTAATTGATAAAATAAATGTTGATAATCGATAAAGAAAGTTTAAAAATAACAAACCAGATGAAATACAGCCGGAAAGAAAATGGATTTGAAAATCTGGCCAATCTGGAAATGTACGATTGGCAAAGCTTGTACGAATAAATCCGAGTCCTTCTAATGCACCGATTGATGCTATTGGACCTTTGGCAAATGACACATATTTCAATATGTTGGGTAACGTATGGACACGCGATTGAATATACGTCCATGTCACACCTTTTGGCCGTAATGAATCATCAGCGATAAAGTTTAATCCTAATGGATAAATGTGATCTTGAAGATTATGACCAACTGGTAAATCCGAAAGGACAGGGATTCCATGCCGGCTAAGTTCGCTACGGGGACCGACACCTTCATATCAAAATTAACACAGAAAACAAAACATTAAACATTTTACAATTGTTGGCGAAACCGAAAGTTGGCGATGGCCGCCACTTGATGCCGCCTCAGTCTTTAGCAATTTGTTTTTATTTACCTGATAGCATGAGAAGTTGCGCCGAACCAATAGAACCGGCCGATAATATCACTTCACGAGTGGCGAACACTTGATGTCGTTCACCCAATCGATCAAACACCACACCGACCGCCTCTTTAAGATCATTGAATAATACTCTGATGACAAAGGCAAATGTGACTACGTGCAAATTGGCACGATAACGTGCATCACCAAGTAAATAGGCTTTCGCCGATGAACAACGGCCACCACGACGAATTGTAGCCTGAGGTATTGTGAATCCAAACTGCGTTCGTCCATTTACATCGATGTTTGGATAACCTACAAACCGAATTGTATTGAACCCATTTGAATGAATGTGATGTTTGTTTGGCCATAAAACAAAAAAAAAATTTCATTAGTGTTTAATTTAACAACAACAATATAAAGGTTATCAATGTGTGTATGCATACCAAATTGTTTTCCGGCTTCAACAAACGTATAGGCCAATGGACTGACCATTTTACTTCGTTGTACAGTCAATGGGCCACCACGTCCGTGAAAGCCATTGTATGCAATGTCCGGATCTTGATTATCTTCAGCACGTATAAAATATGGTAACACTTCTCGATATGACCATCCATAAGCGCCTTTAGCAGACCAATCATCAAAATCATGACGATTACCTAATAAAGAGATAAAATCGTGGAATTCTATGGCAAAACCTGAGATGAATAGAACACTTACCTCTTACATACATCATGTAATTAATGGCAGATGAACCGCCTAAAACTTTACCTCTAGGCCATTTTGATCGTCGCCCTTCAAGACCATAACAAGCATTTTCTTGTGGTACAGTTTCATATTGCCAATCTAATGGTGTACCTTGCATCATAACAGGTGTCTGTGGAATATCCGAAACAAGACTTTCCGAACCACCGGCTTCCAATAGTAAAACTTTAATTTTTGGATCTTCAGATAAACGACTAGCAACAACACAGCCAGCTGATCCGGCACCGACAACAATATAATCATATTGCTATTATGATAAAAATCAACAAAAAAAAATCAAAAAATGACAATCAAAATCAAACAAAACGATTTAGATTCTAAATATAAACAAATGAAAAAAATGATTTTGCATCCCGGTTTTTTGATGAAAGTGTATCAAGATCTACACACACATATCATTATGATTTACAATCATTAGAATATCTCATTTTGATTCATTTTAGGGCAAATTTGTTTTGCTGCCCATACTATAGTTATAGTTATGCAACAGTTTAGATCTTGCCATTGAATTTTTTTTGTGCTTGCTTTTGTTCAACAACAACAGAAAAAATGCATCATTTATGTTTATATTTCAAGGCAATTCTTGTTTTATTATAAATGATTATCAAAAATCTTTCAATCCTTCGACCATATCAAATACAATGTCATTGGCCAGGTTTCTCTCAGTTTGTAGTATACCCTAGATTTTTTTATTCATAAACATTACCAACGAATGACAACAACAAACAAAAAAAATTGGTTCTTTTCGCACCGTTTGAGACACTCTTTTATTTTGTCCAACAACATCTTACATAATTCAATGAATTTCACTTTAGAAAAAAATAAGATATTTGGGAAAAAAAACAATAAACAATAGCAATGATGACGACAACAACGACGGCGGGATATCTACCCGAAGAAGAAAAAAAATGAAAAATATTCAAACCTGACTTTGACTTTGATTTTTTTTTCGAAAATAAAATCGTTAAATCACTCGAATAACGATATCGTTGTTGGTTAATGTAATATAAGTGAATGTGTGTGCCTATGTACCGATTGGTTTTGGTTTTCATCAACTTTTCTCCTTTTACTCTCAACAAATCATTGACCATCATGTCAGATAATAATGATGATAAAATAAATACGAAAAATGTTCAACCTACACCAGATTTATTTGTGTATATATGTAACATTGAAAAAAAATCTTATCTTTTTTTTTGATTATTTAAAATTTGACCTAAAAAAATCTGAAAAATATGTAAAAAAAAGAAAAAGAAAAACAAATTTACAAGGTGACTACCGAATTCGGTACAAATACAATTATTTGATCCGATTAGATTCGGATTCCAATTTTGGATAGATCAATTGATTTATTTTCGATTAAAAAGAAAAGAAAAATCACCGGTTCGATTTGATACGAATTTTATTCCATTTATTTTTCATTATGTTTTTTTTCATTCTTATATTTTCCGAAACGAAAATCGACTCGAATCATTTCATTTTATTATTAATGCAAAGGTTATGTAAAAATAGAATGATTTTGAAATAAAAAATAAAAAAAAAATTCAAACAACCCAAACAAACAAACACACACACACACAACATTATCATCAAAAGTATGAAAATGGAAAACTAACAAATCAAAATTAGAGATGAAGAAAAAACAAAACAAACGGGTATGACCTCAAATAATATATTTATATTGTAATATTTGGATTTAAATTCTATTTGTACAACGACAACATCATCAACAATGATGATGATGATGATAACCAATAGCCAAGAAATATTTTTGATAATTTTTTTTCTTTGCAGTTGTTGCTAAATGTGTAAAAAAACAATAAACATATTGCCCGATCATCATCATCAAACATTCTTGCATCCACAATTTGTTGAATGTGTAAGATTATACAAATCAATGGATAACAAATATACACAGACACACACACATCGAATGATGATAATGATCATAAAATGGATGTGATGCATACAAAACAACAAAATCTTACACCGGGAATAGCCCTTAATCCTATCTATAAGTTAAATAATGATTTACCGTTTTTTTTTACTTTTCTCTTGTGCGTTTGTTTGTTGAAGTGTAAGTGTATGTCAAGTACTCATCACTTTAAACATTTTATTTGAGTAAAAAAAAGAAAAAATTTCATCATTCATTTGTTGAATTTACCGGGTTTTTTTTCTGGTGAAGATGGAAAAAATTGAATTAAGAAACCTTGTCTAGATTTGAGTTTAAGATTTTAATAATTGAATTGAAAAAATTCCATAACTATTTGTTAATCAAATTATTTTTAAGTAATATTTCGGAAAAAAAATTAATTATTAATTAATTAAATTTCAATGTTCATGATAACATTAATTATTTGGATGATAATGATGATGATAGTTATAATTCAATTTATAACAATAAATAACTAACAAACACACACACACACACTCATACAAATAAGGGATAATGAGATTCCTGTGTAAATGATTTTGTTCTTTGCAAGTATAAAATAATGAATATGCAAAATAATTAAAATGATGTAACAAGTTAATGTTATTATTAGATTACATTTTTTTGATGAACATCGCATTTGATTCTTTACCATCATCATCATTTATAATGAATGGTTAGTCTTTATTCATTAAATTTGTTTGTTCTCTTTTTTTTTGTTAATAATTATCATTATCAAACCATATGCTATTGTTTTTCGTAACTCATCACCACCAATCATACAATATACACAGGATAACGTAGCATTAGTATAAGATTTCATAAGACCCAACATGATTTAAATGAAGCCATTCTTTACTGGTTTCTTAATACCAATCTTTCATTTTTTCTTTTCTTTTTTCATTAGCTTAACAGCTAGTTAGTTAAAGGATAACGATGCTATCATGTTCATTTTGATGATGACTTGAATGAATCAAAAATAAAAACCACTTTCACTATTTAACCAAAAAAAAAAAAAATTTATTCACCTGAACACTGGATGTTTTTCTCTCAATGAATTCAATAACAAAAGTGACATGTTTTTTTCATAATAGTGATTTCAAATTTAACTTGATTTTTTTAAAAAGTCTTTACTTCATTTTAAATTGATTTACATAGAAAAAAGAAAAGTGGGGAAAAAATTAGCTTATTTTTGGCCAACAATATATATCTCTCATCCCAAATGCATGCACACAAATAACCTTTGTATGAAAAAAATGCATTATCCATCGATTTTATTCAGATTTGAATATAGCGTGTGCTTGAACATGGAAAAAATACCCATCATAATGATTATGTAAAAATTCAACGAAAAAAAACCAGACAAACATATTACATTCAAGAAATAAGAAATACATAGAAAACAAATGTTAGGAATATCTTTCTTTCTCTTAAAATATCTTTTTTTAACCCAGAAAGATACAATAAACAAGGAGAAATCGTTATCCAATTTATAATGGAATCCAATCAAAAATAAAATAATAATACAAATATACTTTCTATGATATTTTTATGGGCAATCATCATCATCATCATCATGGATATTGTCTTCTATTTTGAAACATCATAAATGAATCATCGATTTGGATGATGATGATGATGATGGAGAAGATTTTTTAAACTAAAATAAAATCTGATCATATGAGGAAGAAAGTTGTTGATGTAATCATATACCGATATAATGCTATGGCTATTTCCGACATCCAAACAACATGAATTTAAAAAAAGAACATTACACAGAGTCAATTTCGATTTCATTCTTTTCAACAAAAAAAAACTAATAAAAAAATTACATCGATCGATAACGAAAATCTGATCTGGGTTGATTGTGGTCAATTCATTTGTAAGTAGAAGATCTTTACTTTATTTCTCTTTTTGGCTTCACTATATGATTGACATAGATCGATTTCTTTTCTCTTCAAACTTTGATGAGACAAATTGTATCCGAATCGAATTACTTTAGCCTAGCTTTGATCGATAGTATGATTGATTGATCAATAGATTTTTAATGACCCAAAGGGAAAAAACAAATCAAAAAAAGAAAACAACGGATTTCTGACGTTCGAAACAACATTTTTCCCATGCTTCTGGTCGTCATATGCTATTGATTTCTTTTTTTGTTTTCAATAACATTTTTGATTATTGATTTTTATAAGGGCGTTGATTAGAAAATATTCATTTATGTATAATTTACTTACCGAATCCCAATATCTTTTGGATACAGGTGGTTGTGTGACAGCATAAAACCAGAATGCCGTCATCGGTATTAATGCCGGCAATGATGCTATCAATAGATTTAGGCCAAGTGCCATTTTTATTGATTATTCCGTTGATGATGACTGTTTGATTGTGGAATTTCATTCGTACATGTATGATTGTTTGATGATAAAAACGACATTACACCATTTGATTTTGTAGAATTTTTTTTCAATACAACTCGACACAACTTTTTTTGATTTCGAAAATACTTAATTGATGATAAAGATTAATTTAAAAAAATTCAAAATATCATTCAATTATTTGATATTTAAAAAAAATTTTTGTCAATGGAAAACACATTTTTTTCTCGTGACAAAAGCTTTTCACATGAACATGGACAAACTATCAATCATTAAACATACATCTTAAATATTTTCAATGACTGTCGATGTTTACGAACATGCTGGTACATCGAATATGATCGTTATGTAGATATTGATGTTTGCGATGTATTCGAATGAATTTGATTTCAGGATCGATATGTTGGAGAATAGGAAAAGTTTGAAAGCATCGTTTTTGTTTCTCGATTTTCAAATATACACAAACAATTGAAAATTCATTGGATCGACACGTTTGGTCATTGTGTGTTTGTGTGTATATTGTAGATGAAATTATCGACAGTGAAGAAGAAGAAGAAAAATAATATTGTCGTTTCAATTGGAAAACGAAAGAGAAATATACATACAAATGAAGAATACCAGAAAGAGAAACCCAAAATATTACTTGTATGTATGTAAAGGAATAGACAAGATCATCACAAGTATATTCGGACAGTAACAATCAAAATAACGGTGATTTGATGATGCAACCAAAATATATGACAATGCAAAATATAATAACAATAATAAATATGATGAAGAGAATCTATTTACCCGAAGAAAATAAAGGTGATAAAAAAGCGAGAGAGAGAAAAAAAATACAAAGAAATCGAAACTTCCGAAAGAAGAGAAACCGAATATATTGTCGTGGTTGTCATGTTTTTTTGTTGTATTTTATCTTCGAATGAAAAAAACAAAAACAGAACCAGATACTAGATTGACCATGGTGATGATGGTGGTGGCCATAAATATATAACAATCATAATGTACGAACTAAATAATGAATGTGATGGTCATGATGGTAGAAATAGTAGCTGAATGTGGTCACTATAATAATGATGATCTATGATAAAATAGTCGGTCAATGGACCATGATTATGTGATTTAAATCATTCAGTAGGTCATTTTGATTTTTTTCGAACCGATAAAATTTTAGATTTTTTACTCTTACCATACACTTCTGGGGTAGTAAAATAGATTTATTTGAAAAATGAATGAACAAAATAAATAGTTAACAAAAACACAACATTGTAACATGGATGAGGTGTGTGTGTGTGTCTTCACCACAACATATCCAGAACTAAGATCATAGACTGAGTTTAAATACAAAATATTGTGTGACAATTATTGATGACTGAAGCAATCAATTTGTTGAATATGGTGATCTAAGAAAAGAAGCGATGATCATTATCACCTTATCAACCAACTTTCAACCCAGACAGCAATACTTGTTGCCATGTCCCAATTTCTTGAAAATCATCATCATTTCATTTGGTACACAAGGATCGTACATCCTTAGATATTTTATCTTCGAATGAAAAAAAAAACAAAAACAGAACCAGATACTAGAATGACCATGATGGTGGCCATAAATATATAACAATCATAATGTACGGGTTAAATAATAAATGTGATGGTCATGATGGTAAAAATAGTGGTTGAATTTGGTCACTTTATTAATGATGATCTATGATAAAACTAGCTCGTCTCAACCAGCCAGACAGTCAGTTGATTAGTTCGTTATGTTAATTAGATTAGATAGTCGATCAATGACCATGATTATGTGATTTAAATCATTCAGTAAGTAATTCAGTGAGTAAGTAATTTTGATTTTTTCGAACCGATAAAATTTTAGATTTTTACTTTATTTTATTTAATTATAATTTTTACGATCATCATTATAATCAGATATACAGGAGTAGTTGGTGATGTACAGAAATTTTTTTTCTGGTAGCCAAAGAAATCAAAATTGTCTTCGATTTTTTTTCTATTTATTATAATTTTATTAATGACAATTTTCATTCACACAAGGGAAGTGATAGAAAGATGTTTGAGCGTGAGAAATTTTTCGGAATTATATTTACCGGTAAAAAAAACTTTCCCTTTATTATTGAATCATTCGATTGACGTAAATGACTTTTTATTCTTTTTTTCTGTATATAATTCTTTTGTCCTGTGAAATCAACAATTTTTTATGAAATAGAAAAAAAATTTCATCAAAGAAATTACAAGTAAGGGAATTACAATGCATTAAGAAAAATAATAATAATAATTTGATATAATGTGCCAGAAACGATGCCAGATTATCGCCGTTCCATGATGCTGAAAAAAAGTATCTGTGAAACTTTAAAATTCCCATCGTTCGATTTATTTTAATATGTTTTCATTCAATTTTTTTGAAAAAATGAAATGAAATCTTCATGCTTTTCATCATCATGTTGATGATGATGATGGCCATCATCGAAATCATGATAAAAATGATAATTCTCTTTTATGTGAGGAATGGTGTTTTTTTTTTGATGGACATCCTTTTTCGTCAAATGCCGTTTTGGTTCGATTAGTGTTGAAACTATTTTATTCATTGTTATCTAGGTCCTTTGAAATCACGATCTCTTCTCAGTAATTTTCATATCATTATTTTTTGTAGCCATTTTTTTTCCTTTCTTTCTTCTTTAATGATAACCACATTGAATTCACCCACCACACCACCATCACTGCCATCATCATCATCATCATTGAAATTTCAAAATATCATTATTGTAAAGAGTAGGCTAAAAAAAGGGTTTTTCAATTTTTTCGAAAATCCATTATTTATTTTTATTGAAAAAAATAATAATTCATCTTCATAATAATAATTATTGTGATGACCAGTTTTTATTATTATTATTATCATTTTGATTTTGTTCCAAAACCATTAATTATGATGATGATGATGGTAATAAATAGAAAGATCAACAAACATTGATAGGTAATTGTGGTCATGGACAACATTATATTTACTTTTTTTTTCAATAATATCCTAAATTATAACAAAATTAACTAGTTATTTTGACCATTAAGTTAGTTTGTATATTTATATAGAGATACTATCAAACAAAATAGAATATATTAGTTTTGATTTTGATTTTCATTCAAGATAAAAATTGAAATGAGAGAAAAATAAGAAAAGTAAAAAGTGACAGATTTTTTTTCTTTTTTTTGGGTTTGTTAAGATTGAAATACACTTATTGAATTGTGTTTGTTTGTTTATTCACTGATATCTGGTTCTAACTTGTTAGTTTATTCTATTTAAATTATCTATCTGCAAAAAAGACAATCATATTTGACAAGAACGTGCAAATTGGTTTTTCTTGTTGTTTTTTTTTTGTTTTGGAAAAATATTTATCCCACACACACTAAATATTTTTTCCGAAAATAATATTCTACCTTTTTTTTAAATTGAATTTTCATTTGTTTCGGATGGAAATAAACAGAAAAGAGAGAAAACATTGGAAAAAATTCAGATCGATCAATCAATTGACACCATTTTTCTTGTTTTGTTTTACTTTCTGATCATAATGTTGATTCGTCATTAATCATCAATCTGATTTGTCCATTATTTGATTGTCTTACATTAATCTGTCTGTTATTTTTATTATTGTCGCCGATAAATTTAATCTGATCAAATGATTGATACAATCTATTCAATAAAATCATCACATAAAAAACAATTTATTTTGTCATCATTATTTTAAAATTTTTAAAAAAGTTTAAATTCTGTCGTGTATGGATCATTAATGTGGATTCAGGTTCCATTAATTTACAAGGGGGAATGAAGGAGATGATGATGTTGACCGTATTTTTTTACGAGGAATGAGGGGAAAAAAAACAACAAGAACGGATGTTCTAAATTTTCGCTCTCATTCAATGTTGGCAGATAATCGTTTGAATTTTTATTTTCATTCGAAATTTTTGATGGATTGCTTGATGTTTATCGTCATGGTTTTTGTTTTCTTTGGATCTATTTTTATGTTACGTTTTATTGTTGTTGTTGTCAATAATGATTTGAAAGAAAAAATTTTTCGGTATTGTCCATTATCTCAATGATGTATGTATGTATTTTTATGTGTAATATAGGTTGTATTCTTTATATTTATTTATTTTAACAATACAACAACAACAACATTATTACAATAATATTTGACCTCCTCAACATAACATCAAACAAATCCGATCTAATATATATTTGTAGTGATGATAATGATTATGATGGTCAAAAAATGATGGTGTAAAAGTGTCAAGTTTATGGATTTAGATCTAAAGAAACATTTAATCACTATTGTTATATAATGTTTATATTGTTATCTGGTTTAAAATATATTGACGGTGGAGAGAATAATTTGTCGAAACGAAAAAAAAATCCATATCGAAAGTTTTAAATGCCAAACAAAACAAAGATGATGATGGATTGAGAATATTTAGAAAGATGAAAAGAAAAGCAACAACAAGTGAGATTTTTGATCAACATTTTCACACAAACACAATCCGTTATTGTTTTAATATTTTCGTTTGTCTACTTTATGTTCTTTACCAATTTTTGTTTAGTTTTGATTATAATCAAATCGATTATATTCATTCTAAAATAGTAAATCTGATTTGAATATGTGAAGTTTGAAGAGTGAGAGTTTGAAAAAAATGATTATTTGATGCAAAAAATAAAAAATTACTGCACAGGAGGTATTGTAACAGGTGTGTGTGTTAATGTTTGTGCGTAGGTGAAATTGGGGGGAAAAAATCTTAACGCACCTTGAAATACCAATTTCAAATGAACCATATTGCTGCTGTTGGCATTTACACTCTTTACCTTGATCGGTTTGGATCTTTTTTTTTTCACTGAAAGTTTTTTTCATTTTTGAATGAAAAACCATTTTTTCATAACATGACCAACAGCAAGGACAATCATTTTGTTTTATTATTATTATTATTATTATTCGATTCAAACAAAAGTGTTGTGATAAATTTAGAGCATCTTCAACAACAATCATAATGATGTTGGAAATGGAATGGAATGGATCATCATCCCCCTCTTTTCCGAAATTTTAAAAATTGTTTTGGATAATAATGAAAACAATGGATTTGATTTTCTGAAAGTTTTCATTCTCAATGTTTTTCTTTTTGTTGTTACTGTTGTTTTTGTTGTTGTTGTTGTCTGGTTAGTTCTGGACTTTCGATGATAATACTTGAAAAAAATATAACAAATTTTTTTCTCAAAAAAAGATCGATCAATAAAAGGAAAAATGACAAAAAAAGAAAACTGAATCGTTACTGTCTGTTTTTTTTCAATGAGGAAAATGTGGGAGTCCATTCAACATCAATAACAATTACATACTGAATGATCATTGAAAACGCCAGACAATGGACAACGACAATAATAACAGCAACAATGATAATGATGATGAAAGTTAAGTAATTAGCCAATCGATGAATCGAATCGATCGATTAGTAACTTTTATTTTTTCATCCTTAAACTACATTGCTCTCAACACCATTTTATATTCTTTGACCATTATATAATAGTCATACTCCCTTTTTTTTGAAAAGAAAGTTATTTTCATGGATCCATTTTTAGAATGAAAATACTACATATATACCATTCACATTGTTTTTTTCAAATCGATAAAATTTCTAAATCGGTGGTGGTAGTAGTGGGTGTGGACGGTGATTAAAGTTTTGCTTTTTTTCACTTCAATTTGACCATATCGTAATTGAATTAAATTGAATGGCTACTAAATTCATTCTATAATCGATTACTGTTGCGCAAATTGATTATTTTATTTTCATTTTTTTTTTGAATTCAGTTTTTTTGTTAAGATTTTATTTTCAAAAGAAAAAAACAATCAGACAGATATACTTTTTAGGATTACAACTGAAAAAATGAAATTTATTCATTTATTTTCATTTGATGAAGACATCATTACGGATTCATAATGTCGTACCATCCATAAAGCATAGCTTAATGTTTGAAAATCATTAATGATTGTGTATAGATTTTTATATGTTATCGAAATGGATCGTCGTAGTTTAATGTAATAATCATTTGTTTCATAATAATATGGTATATGATAAAGACTACATATTTCAATCAATTTATCCTGTATCGATTGTAACATTTGCATTGAATCATAAACCATCAATGATACTTGATTGATAGCAAATTGTATTTTAAATCTTATATCATCATCTAGTTCAAAATGATCAGGATTTATTTCTTTAATATGTTCGCGTATATTTTTTGGAATTCCAGCCAAAAACACAAGAATCTGTTCAAGCATATCGGCATTTTCATCCAGATCAGATTCAGTTTGTTTTATCAATTGTGTGATTAATTCACAGATTTTACATTCTTCATCATTGATTGTATCGATTTTTTCTTTCAATAGCTTAGATTCTTCTTTTGGTAAATTTAATTCAAAATAATCGATAAGATTAGCAACAATTTTACTATAATCACATACACTTTGATTAATAAATCGTAATCGTTGTTTCTCCAATAATGGTTTTTGATGTTTTTTATCATCATTTTCAATATCATTTATATTATCGTTTACATTCGGTGGATTTTTTTGTGCGACAATCTCATTGAGTACGACACCAATCTGTTCCAAACCTTTGATAATGTCCATATTTCTTGTTTTTTGTTCGTTTGTTTTAATTATACAACACAATCAAGGAAGATTAACGATTACAAAAATTAGAATGTAATCAATAATTGATTGCATATTTTATATGAAAATCAAACAAAATTCTATAATTATATTAACATTTTTTTAATGCAATTAAACTATTACAAAGAAGTCAAAATAAAGTTGTTCGTTTTTTTCAATACAGGTTATTTTGCTGAACATTCATTTGATAAAAACGATAGTAAATAAAATGAATGAAACCGATATTTTTCATTGCATTTTTTCTGTATAATAATAATATAGTCAGATTGTCAGAATATAATATAATGATCACATTTTTTTTGTTATAGTATTTGTAATAATAATTCTGTGTTTGATTCGATCCGATACGTATCTATCAAATTCGATGAATGTTTGTCCTCGATGGTTGTGATTATGAGATTGGAATCGGATATAGGATTACAGGTTACAGGAAACATAGAGACAGACAGACAGACACACATTTATCAATGAATGGATAGGAACGGTGATGCACCAACTAAAGACAGAAATATTATGATCAAGCTCACTATATTAGTTGAACTAGAAGCCATTGTTTGAACAAAACCTTTGTTGACCGTTTCCGGTTGAAATGATGATTCCACTTTTCTTCCATTTAATGGCTGAATTCTACGAAAATTATTAGCCATTTTTTCTCCAGTATGTTCATCAATTACGCCCAAGAATTTTTCAAACTAAAATTCCATTTTGAATTTGAAAATTTTAAAACGTTAAACGAATTTATGAATTATTTTTCTCTCTCGCTCTTTTTTTTTTGTTTTCTACACAAACCTGTGAACGTCCAATTTCACTCGGTTGACTTAATACTAGCCATACAAGGCCTTCAGTACATGGTGGTGTTGTCAATGATCCATGATAACGATATAATTTTTCCAAATTTTCGGGCAATAAATTCTTTAAGGTAATTGTTTCACGCAAGAATTGACTTTGTTCGGGTGTTGATTCTTGTAATTTTTCAATCATATCGCCTATAACTTCAAATTCTGGATTCATTTTTTTGATCTAAAATTTTTTTAGAAATAAAAATCAATTTAAAATTTATATTTTTTCAGAAAATAATAATAATAATAATGAATATGAAAAAAAATGGTAAATATCTTGTAATGGCTAATTTAAAAATCACAGCGAAGAAACTGAAACTGAAAAATAGAAAAGAAAAAATATAGAATAGAATGTATATCGAACCTCGAAAAATACACCCAACACTGAAACACTACCATCACGTGCTTCTAAAGCTTTGCTTAATGTTTCATGTTTAGCATGATTATAATGTACCAAATGCATCTATTTTAGTGGAAAAAATTAATTATTTATAATTTTATTTTTTATACCATAGAATAATCATCATTTGTATATATGAATACCTCAACAGGAAATGCACGTCCATTGATTTTATGTTCGGAACCAATATGTTTGGCCATTCCCCAATGGAAATGAAATTGTGCTAGACGAAATATTCCGTTATTTAATACGGTACCAGTAATTGCCGGTGCTGAATCAACATCACCCGTATAATCAAATTGTACTATTTATTTGAAGAAAGGGGGAGAGAGAAAAAACATTTTATTCTATAAAATTAATGATCAAATTTTGTTTTTGTAAGATTTTTCTTACTTGAATGTCCATTATTTGTTACTTTATAGCTAATAAGTGGTTGATCATAATTGATGAGATCCAATTTCAATGTATTATTATAGAAAACATCCTGTGTAATTAAATCGATTGGTGATTGACTACTTCCATCACATTGATTTTCACCATTTGCCCAATTTTGTTGTTCTAAAATGTATTTTTTCCAAAAATTAATCATCGTAATTTTTAACAATAAATTCTCAAGTGTTATTTATTTGTGTATCCGGACAATCGATTACATAGATTTGTTGATTTTTTTCATAGAAGTATTGATTAATTGAATGTAAAACACTTACCCTTATAACTCCAACCGGAACTTATCACTAATTGAAATATAAAAATAAAAGAAAATTAATATTAATCATTTTAACACTCAATTCATTTTGAATAGATATTTTTTTGATATTTATTTCCTATCTCTTTTTCTTTCTCTTTCTTGTTTTCATTATGCTTGATAGATCGATTCATTAATCATTTTGGTTGATAATTCTATGCTTATCTATTAATTCGAACTAGCTATTACATCTTCATCTTGATAAATCGATCAATTATAAACAATCGACAATAAAAAAGCGAAAACGTTTTTACGTCACCTAAAATAGTTGTAAAAAAATGTTACGAAATAACAATGATAGAGCATCACTCTTCACGTTTTTTTTGACATTTCAATATATAAATCATAACCACACATTTGACCCTCGAGAAAATGTAATTTATTTTAAGAAAATGATACGATAATGAAAATATTGACCTTGACTGAATAAATCATCGAATTTTTTTCTTCAGTTGCAGTTATTTTTTTGCAATATTGGTTTAGAATCATCATTCTACAATCCATCATTGATGCCAAATTTAGCCACAAAAAAAGAAAAAACAGAAGGCGAAAACGTCATACATTTCTTTTTTTTGATGTTGTAAATATAGCGGAAAAATATTCATCCTCGACATTCATTATGAGGATAGAATTTATAAATGATAATCGGAAATTTTACACAATCCGATTTTCTAGACAACATCATCAACCGAAAAGAAAAAAACCGTTTTGATTCATTTAACTAACAGTTAGTTTGTCTGCTTTTTTTTGTTGTCTGCTGCAGCCGAATATGACAATTATGTTAAAGATCAAGGAAAAAATGTGTAGAAAATTCACTTTTTTTTTGTCATTCATCAAAATAAAAATTTTCATTTCAGAGAGATATGGAAAGAGAGAATGCTGCATACGTTTATCATTATCGATATAACAAAATAAAAACTTACCGGTTGAGATGTAATAACAGGATAATAATAATAATATGGATAATAATTTTGCCATTTTCACTCTTTTCTTTCTCACTTTTTTTTTGTCCCACCAACAACACTATAGGTTATATGGTTGATTGAAAATTTTAAAACGAAAACAAACAAGTAAATCTATGCAAATGGAATCACAGCAATGTGGAAAACAAAAATTATATCAACAAATCAATATGGATAAAGATTAAACATCCAAAATGAAATGAAATTCAACTATGATATTATGGCAAAAAAGAGTTGTTGTTATTGTTTTTAAAAAAAACTCTCTAAATCAATGTTGTAATGATGATCGTGATCATTCAAACAAAAACACAACAACAACAACAAAAATTGTTCAATAATGATCGAATTTTTTTTCTTGGTTTAAATGTGATTAAATTAATCTGATTTTTTTCAAAATCCAGTGGCTACTATATTTTGGTAGTAAAAAAATCATTCGACAAACAATTACACAGTTGTTCCACATTAATCCACCCACCCACACACACACACAAACAAACATATACATTGAATTTTCAATTATCCAATCGAAATCCAGTAAAACAAAATGATTAAACAAATAAACATATAAAAATTTTTAAAGATAATTACAACAAATAACAATGATGATGACGATGTGGATAAAATTAACGATTGATTGTTTTATATTTATAATAATAATTATTATTATTATGATGATGTTGATCGTGATGATGAAAATATTTTGTTGGAAAAAAATTACATTCAATCAATAATACATAGATCGATCGAATAGATGAATTTTGAAGGGGAAAAGAAAATGTTGGAAAAAACACACAAAGATGAATGATGAAGAAAAAAATGATTGGGGGGAAACTAACTATTGGCCTAAAAATGACAATGATGACAAATCCAAATAAAATAACGATTTGTTTGGCCGACCAATAGAATTTTGCCGCCACTTTTTTTCCTGACGATCGATATTCAACACACCGGTACGGAGATGATTTCATAATATGAAAATGAAGATAATGATGATGATGGATGTTTTAGTAAAACACGAATGTTCAACTATTTTGATGTTATTCAACGTAATTTTTTTCTGGTACCAGAAATTTTCTTTTTTAAAAATATCTATCTCCATGTCTATGTCTGTCGATGTATGTATGTATGTGTGTTGATGTTCGTACGCTGCATATTGCTATGAAATCCTATCTACGGCAATGGATTGTATAGTTTACAACATCTACAATATTTTATAACATATAATCATCATCATCATCATCAAAGATTGTGTGTTAATCAGAATATAAAGACCCGAATTTTTCTTTTTCTTTCTTTCTCTATTATTTTTATCCGGTATGCGCCCGCGCCAAATTTTATCGTCTGTGATTGTGAACATTTTCTTTGAAAATATTTTTGTCAAACATCTTGAAGGATTCTTTTTTTTCATTATTATTGTTATTGTCCAAAGGGTATTTTCGGTTGTTGTTGTTGTTGTTGATCTGTCGATGGGCTGTAGCCATATTAATTTGATTAATCATTATCATTAGGAATTTGGATGCTGTTGATGATGATAATGATAATATATCAACTTACACTATTTATGAAACTCAATTTTTTTTGAAAAAAAGAAGGGAAAAAAGATAGAGATAAAAATTGTCATGTCATTTAGAAAAAAGAGACAGATTGTGTGCCATTAATTTTAATCTGGATGTAGAAAACTAAAACTGAAGAGACTGAAAAACTTTCAATTTTTTTTGTCTATTATTGAAATCATAATAATCAGAAAAAATGTACGATAATAAAATCGGGGCCAAATCCAAAAAAAAGACAAATCGCATTATCATCATGGTAAATTATTTAATTTCATATTTTTTCGGATCAATTTTTTTCTTCTTCGATCCACTACTGGAATTGCTTTCATAATCTTAGTTAATCAAAAAATGATAAAATATCCACTTTTAAAACCATAAAAATTGCCCAATACATGAAACCTTATATTCAATTGCGAAATGTGAAAACACTTTTTTGGTGATAATCATTATGCGAATGATAATTATAACTTGGCCATATCAAAATGTAAATGAAAATTTCGTTTTTTCCTTTGGAATCGAAAAATTGTCGAATTAAAAAATTCTACAATTTCAAGTATTTCGGGTTATGATAATGAAATTCAATCACAAAAATGTTTACAAAAACATTTTTTATTTTATTATCTATTGATCAAATGTAAACAATATTGTTGTCGTTATTTTAGTTTCTATTTCTGGAGCAACGTGATGTAATGCTTATCAATCGAATTACTCCGTAACGATTGATTACTATTGTTTCTATCAAATCGAAACAATAATCAATAAAACAACCAAAACATCATACACAAAAAAAGTTTGCCTATAATTATAACCTTGATTAGACAAACATAAATAATTGGGAAAAAATCCTAAAAATTATCGATTAATTAGATTTGATTTTTTTTCATTTGTACAATTATAATCAATTATTGCATTGACATGACACCGATGATGATGATGATGATGACGAATAAAACTATTGAACAATTTAGAAAATAAATCAATCAAACAATTTCGATAAATAAATAATTGTCACATGATGACCAGGAAAAAAACTTGTAACTTTTCAATATCCTCATAGCCTAGATTTTATTTATTTCAATATGACATTATCATCTTTAATTTCGGTCATCGAATCTATTGAAAATAATTGTCAAATTAACAAACATAGAGACAAACACAAATGACATGCATTAAAATGAACCGGAATAGATGAAATTTCAAATTTTCCTTTCCTTTTGTTTCATTCGATTTGTTTCGTTTCGTATACACAGGAAACAAGCAAATAACCAAGGAAACTTTTTGTAAATAATTAGTAATTTAACATAGAAAAATAATTATTTATATTTCATATGGAATCACAATGAATTACTCTGGATTCATTGATTTTCTGGGTTAAAAATTCAATATTAAATGATCTTTATTTCGATGTTAGTAAGAAATTTTAAATTCGAATAATTTCTTTTAATCGATATGCAGTGGCGGCATCTGTCGATGATAAATATTCTCAAAGAAAAAAATACATAGAATGGAATACATAGAATGGAATTTTATTTTATTGATTAAAACAATGTCTTCAACAATAAATACAACAATTAAAATGATAAAAGTATTTAGTTAATTTGAACTCCACAAGGTGGTTGCCAACCACCAAATTTTTTAGCAAATAATTCGGCTGCAGCCAATGTATAACGATCATTCAAACGTTTGGCTATAATTTGAAAACCAACAGGCATCTTTGATCGTTTGCCAATACCCATGGCAACCTGTGTAACAGGCATTTCCATTACATTAAATACGGAAGTGTAGCCACAGTTGTTCACACGTAAAAATGTTCCACTATGTTTTGGTGCTCGCTCTGGTAGACATGGCATAATCAAGATGCTACCATCCTCTATGAAATAACACAGAAAAATAAATACGATAAATTTTAAAAATGTTATTGATAAAATACCTAACATAGAATTCAATTGGTCGCGCAATTGTTTTCCCATTTCTATTATCTTTCGAAAAAAACGTTTATTCCGTGTTTCGGGAGAATGTACAGCATTTTCTAATAACACATTCATACAGGTAATTTTACGAAACTTCGAACGACCAAATAATCCTTTTATCAATTCGATCCCTGCATTCAATTGTCCACGTCGTTCAACAATTTCTTCTCCCAACGATGGTGCATCACAATCGCCCAATGTAGCTAAAAATATTAGGAAATTATATTTCATCAACGGTATTTGAGCATCGATGCAAATGAAGCCACAATCTTTTTCAAGAAAATTACGAGCACGTTGTAATGTTTCACGTACATCAGACGAAACGGGTGTTTTAAATGGATCGCCATCTTCATAGAGAAAATAGAATCGAGATTTTTTCAAATCAACTGGTCGATCTAAATCAAGTTGAGCTAATGCCTTTTCATCATCAGCAATAATCACTTTATATAATGGTTTTAAATCCGTTGCATAACGACACAATGGGCCATTGACTAGCAATTTTTCCCTCGATTTATGGCCACAATATGGAAAATTCCCTTGGTTATTTGTCATATATGATGAAGGCTTATGTCCGAATGTACCACAGAAAAATGGCGGTATTCGCAATGAACCACCGATATCTGAACCAACACCAATTATTGTACCAGCTGCTGCTTGTATGGCTGCTTCACCACCTGAACTTCCACCGGTAATTCGTGATAAATCATAAGGATTACGTGCACGACCATATACATGATTGTTCGTATCCCACCATAGCAAAAATTCAGGTACATTTGTCACACCTTTGGGAAAAAATTGCAAAAATTAAACATTTAAAAGTTGATTGCCTATTTTTTTACCTAAAACAATTGCACCAGCTTTGCGAACATTTTTCACGACCTGTGCATCCTCTTTGACGCGAAAATCTTTTCTTGAATATAAACCAGCAGTGTTGGGCATTCCTTTGACAGGGATGCATTCTTTGATCGTGATAGGCACACCAAGCAACGGCAATTGAAGTACATTATCTTCGATCAATGGGTCATTCAAAGCCATTTCAATACGACGATCATATTCTTTCGCTTCTCTAATAGCATCATTAAAACAATTTGCAACAACAGCATTGATCAATGGATTTACCAGTTTAATACGATCGATAAATACTCGAACAAGTGTTTCACATTTCAATTGACCAGTACGTGTTTTTTCTACCAATTCTGTTGCTGTGTGCAATAACAATGGATGTGTTATGGGTGGAATTCGATTCCGTTGCGTCCAATGATATAAACCAGTTATTTCCATAAGGCTATCAAGAAAACATCGAATTATACGAATGTAAATAGCTATCATCATCGATATGATCCATACTATAGGGATGATTAAAATTTTTAACTTTTACATAACTATGAAAATTTTATCAAAAATTTCCTATATTACATTTTTAGATTTATATTGTTTTCCCTAAAATAATTCATTTTAATCATCAATATCATTCGATGTAAATACTTACATATTGATTGGCCAAATGGTACATATATTTCGATAAATGATATTATCCATTCCATGTCGGGATCAAAATTAAAATTTATGATCATTCTCTAGTATTCACACAATGATTGTATATCTATGTTTTCAGAAATGAGAATTACATCAATCTACTTGATCATAACAAATCAAAAGTTTTGAGTAAATGTACTATGAATAGTTAAAACATAATTATTTAAAAAAAAACAAACCATCCAATGTCGATTAGTTTCTCAATTCATGTATACATGCACTTGGCTATCAAGTTTTTTCCCTCCACTAAATAATAGTGTTTGAAATAAAGGGAAAAATGATCCGTTGAAATGAATGTTAGCTTTAGTTTAAACAAATAATTATGTACACAGTAACAGTTATCGTATAAATTCATTTAAAATGAAAATGATGAAGAGACAATTCACTAATCATTCTTTTATTTGACAAAATATCTTGATTTATCAATAATGTAGCCAGTCATCCGTTTTTTATCAGTTAAATATCCATTGTTTATTTGAATAGAAAAAAATGTTTTGAAAAAATTCAATTGAAGTTTGTTTTGGTTTAACACTTAAAATGCTCCGTAATTTATTCGAATATACGAGAGAATGTTGGGATCACACAAAGTGTTAACCAATTAGTTTATAAAATGAGTCATTCATCATGTAAGGTACATTTAAACGTTTTGCTTTGAGTAAATTAATCAGAAAACATTAATGATAATTTGATTAAATCAATAAAGAACACGACAAATAATTTTCATTGATAATCTGCCGAAACGTTCAAATCCGTTGCACAATTTTTGGCAGGCATTTTGTACCCAATAGGTATATTAAACCAATTTAATGGTTTGAATAATTTTTTTTGCACTGTTTTCAAAAAACTCCATCAACATTACGATGATAATGGTAGAAAAAGAATTCAATTAAAAACAAAACATTGAAAACTAAAATTTTTTTTACATTACTTCAATTTATCAATTTCACAGTACAAAATATCAGTAATTTGAAATGATTGAATCATAATAAATCTAAAAAGATGAATGATGATCGGAAGTAAACAATGATTGCTGGCCATCTTGTTGGTTGCCGTAAAAGATTTGGCTGTATGAAAATCTGATCCATTAGAAATTTTTTCATTGTAGATAGATAACAAAGACAATAAATCAATAGAATTTGTACAAATAATTCGATGACAAATGCAAATTCTTCGGTGAATGATGTGATTGTCGTAATAATTTCTTGATTAGAATTCACTTCATCGTTGTCATCATTATTATGATCGATGTATTCAGAAATTTCTACAAATTGTTGTTCTACGTTATCCGTCATTATAATCTTATTATCAACATATATTCGTGGTCCAAAAAAAGATCATTGTCGTATGGTTGTTTGTTTTTTAATGACGAATAACGAATGAATAAATCAACAATTTGAAAGAAAGAAAGATTTATTCGAATAAAATTTGGCGAAAACTAAATATCTTTTTACATTGACATTGACTATTGCCGGTTTCTGATTGATTGGTTGGTTGATTTTACTATTCATTTCATTTCAACAAAAGACAATTTTGGAAATTAAAAAGGAAATGAATTTGCTTATCCTTTGTTGTTTTTAAGAAAACTACGGAAAAAACGAAACAAAAACTAATGAATGAAATAGAAATCATTGAAAGCTTTTTATACTTATAATAATGACAACCATGTGTGAATTACTTATGTTGTAATAGATTTTTTTCCTGTTCCAGGAATGACAGGTAAATTTGAAAGCTAACATTCACACTGAAATTCAAATTTCAAAGTTTAATAAATTAAAAGCAATTTTATGAAGAATTTTTTTTTTAGTTTTTGGGCAGAAAACAAAATTAAATACTCTTGACAATGTGCTTTTGCAAATCAATCATGCAACACTTGTCATCATCATCAATATATAGAATTCAAAACAAGACAGACAAAAAATTAAGAAATTTAGAATGTGATAAATTTTCCAAACCTGAATTATTAGTAAAAAAAATAATGTGCAACAGGTTGAATGTTGAAACAAAAATCTTATACCGATCAAGTACGCTGTTTGATCTTGGATAAACATCAATAATCGAATAGTAAATCTTTGAAATTATCTTTTTTGGTGAATAAACGACATTCTTAAATTGCACGTACGCATCATTTGTAGTTTACAGTGAACGATCACACTAAATTGATTTACTGATAAAAAAAAATATTTCCTCTGAATGAATTTCAATTTCGACCCTGAACTACTATTTATTTCATTTTTTCCAAATTTAAATTTCACAAAAAATTGACCATGATCATTATCATTAATAATTTAATTTAACTAAAATGGTACTAATTATTTTCAAAATAATGATCGAAATGGACAGGAAATTATCGTTTTTTTTTCAAAAAAATGAGGCCAAACTGGAATGATTTTTCCCAATTATTTAATTAAATATATGATGTTCATTTGGTTTTTTTTCGAAGTTGAAATGTGTTCCATTTGAATATTGGTCATTATAATTAGATTGCCACCATCATCATAATGATAATTATTCAAAATCTACATCGTTGTTATTGTCATCGATTGATATAAAAACCTATTTTCCTTAGGTTCAAACGATTTTATCGTGTTATATTTTTTAAACGTTGATCCAATTTTTTTTCGAGGACATTTTTCTAAAAAATGAATTCGATAGTCTACTTACTATTATTACTAATCATTAATGATAAATGGACAATTTTTGTTTATTCTACTCCAGTATATTATGATGATTGTGGTATGGAATTGATTAACTTATTTTCAACATTTATTTGTTTTATTTCTTTTCAATTAAAATAAAGGTAATGGTGAAATCAAAAGTATTGATATTGAACCATGTCATTCGTTGCCATGTCATTTTGAAAAAGGTGAACGTGCCAATGTTACCATTATTTTTCAACCAAAACAAAAATCCAATTATCTTAGGGTACATAGTACATTGCGTACAGGTGGCCTATTTGATTATCAGATAAAAGTTACGGATGAAGATCCTGAAGTTTGTCAATCATCTAATTCAAATCGTAAAAATTGGGGAAAAATTAAATGTCCTGTATTGCCCGGAAACACGTATACGTTTAAAGTAAGCCGAATTTTTCCCGCATCGACCACTTGGAATGTGAGTAAATTTTGGAAAAGTCAATCCAATATCAAATATAAATCATCCGTAATATTATAGATGTTTCGATATTCAAAAATTCAATTACTGAATGAATATGGTGAAATAGTCGTTTGTTGTGATTGGCATCTGGAATTCAATAGGGCAAGCAACGATAATAAAATGCTTTATGTACAGAATGCTAATAATTCGTCATTATCATTTTGATAGTTATTAGTTTTTTTTCGGAAAACAAATTAATTTAAATATTTTTTTTGTCTGTCGGTTTTTTTGTTTTTTTTTGTCTTGAAAAAACATTTAAATGATGAGTGATAATTCGTGATTCGTGTAACTGAACAAGTAACACAATAATTAATAAGATAACCAAAAACAAACAAATAAAATTTGTGAAGAAAATAAAATCACAGCATATTTTGTCTGAGGTGGATATGAAATGAGAAAATTTTTAACTAAAAGATAAAAAAAAAATAAAGACTCGATTAATTGTGTTAAGTTATAAATTATTGAAAAAACGAAATAAATTTTTATAGAATAACAAAAACAAATAATTAGATGACCAGCTTTCATCACCAACGAACGGAATCACGAAATTCATCATGTAAACTAAGTCGTTTTAAAGTTTCATAACCTGCAGCAATAAATGTTGAACTAAGCCCACTATGGACAAGACGAGCTGATAAACCTTTGGTGAATATTCGATATCGTTCTTCGGACCATAATAGTTGAGCTGCGTTTACTATCGATTGTAATCGTCGAACTTGAATGTTTGCTCGTAGAACATCCAACGGATTTGTTAATGCTATTATGAATGAAAATATTTTTATTGTATTTCAGGTTTGTTTTTTACAGAATTATGCTTACCAGCGACAGTCATTCCCGAAAGACTACCAGCGGTACAATGTATTATCATATGTGGCGTATTATTTGGAAGCTGAGTGACTAAGCATTCCGAATAAACAGGATAAAACATCCACCATAGGCCACTAGTTGGTACATAGGTAGCGACCGAAGATAGATAACCTCGATAATAAGCCTATTAAAAAAGTGGTTATAATTTGATTATAAAGGATCACCAACAATTTGAAATTACCCTTAATCCTCCATCACAGCGATACAATTCTTTGACTACGGTTTTGGCCAATCCATTATTTTTTACAATTTCTGGATCAATGTTTAAATGATACGATGATTTCGTTGATGATGCGGATGAAATTTTGGTCCGTTTAGATTTATTCCAAAGCATTAAATGTTGAGAAATGACATCGAATGGACCTATGGATAATTTCATTTAATTAACTTAATTCAAAAAAAATCGATATAAACTAAGACATACAAATAATTGTTTGACTGACTAGAGATCCAAGACCTCCGGCAATAAGGCCTCGTATTCGATTATCATTGATATCGTTTTTGGAAAGTATATGTCGCGCTTTTTCATAGGTCAATATATAGCCGAAACCTATATAGAAATGGTAACGTTAATTCGATTTCGATATTAATGATTCGAAAACATTCATTACCTGAAACGACTTGCATTGTATTTACCCAGAATCCTTTGTACAAAGCAGAAAAGCCTTCAGTACGGACAATATGACGAAATGCATCGGCTGTACCTCGATACACTTCTTGGCCAGATTTTTGAAGCTTTTTAATAAAACAATTATTATCATTATTTAGTGATTAAATTAGTGATACGATATTTGATACCTGAAGACGAGTTTTAATCACTGTTAATGGATACAGAAAAAATCGTAGCGAAATAGAATGAACAACACTTAGACCAAAAAATCTTGTTTTATTCATCATATCCCATTCGATTGTTAATAATGGGAGTCCAGTGGATTCCATTTCGTCCATTCTTTGTTTTTGGTAGATCAATAAATGTATGGCAAGCAAATAAACTATTCGCACTCTAATATTTGTTGTGCTTGCTATCGTTCGTTCTGGTGTTGAACCAAGATTCAATTCAATTGCTGTTTGATTTTGAAAACAATGTTTGGAAATTTAAAAAAAAACTTGAATTTTTTAGAAAATCATGTTTACGTTTTTTTTCGTTGTTTCGAAATTCAGCTGTAAAACTCTGGACTATTGATTCTCATGATTGGCTGTTGAATTATAATGACACGATTCTTTATGAAACGATCGAATGGTTCATCATTGCTCATTGAGGAATTTTGGATTGTGAAACGAAAAAATTTCAGACCAAATTATTTTGGTTAAACACTCAGCAATAAATTGGTCACTTTTGGAAATTTTTCAACTCTCAAAACTCGATATTGTTGGGAAACTTTCCGGAAATATTTTTGTTGCATGATTTTGGCACGTGTTCCAGAATTTTGATTATAGTGTTTTGTTTTATTTGAATTATATTGTAAAAGTGATGAAATGTCGACTCGTAAACTGAAAAAAGTTTCGTTTGGTAAAAAAGAAATACCGTATTTCTGTGCTGAAGATGGTGGCTACCTAGAACCGGACGATGCAAATGAACAAACGTATCAAATCACGCAGAAAGAGATTGTGAAATCTGTGGATATAACATCTGCTGCGAAACATTTTGATCTACATTTGCCACATTTAGGTCCATATAAATTAGATTATTTTCGAAACGGGCGTCAGCTATTGATTGGTGGCCGAAATGGACATGTAGCCGCATTCGATTGGATCTCTAAAAATCTCAGCTGTGAATTTAATGTTCGTGAATCAGTTCACGCCATCAAATGGTTACATATGCCTACGATGTTTGCCGTAGCTCAAGCGAATTGGACTTATGTTTATGATGAAAATGGAACCGAAATTCATTGTCTTAAGCGGTTATATCGTGTATATGAGCTAGATTTCTTGCCTTATCACTTCCTATTGGTAGCTGCGTCTGACAATGGATTCCTATCATGGCTAGATGTATCCACTGGTAATTTGGTGGCAAATTTTCGGATGAAAGTCCCACGTCTTACTTGTCTTACGCATAATCCTAATAATGCAATCACATTCACCGGGCATCCAAATGGAACAGTCCGGTTATGGTCACCGAATAATAATGAACCATTGGTGCGTTTGCTTTGTCATCCTTCAGCAGTACTAGATGTCGCTATTGATAATCGAGGACTATTCATGGTTACTACCGGTGCGGATAGATCAGTTCGCATATGGGACATTCGTAATTATCAATGTATGAACACATTTCGAGTTCAATCAACACCATCTCGCATAACCTTGAGCCAGAAAAATTTACTTGCAATTGGTTCTGGAAATGAAGTGAAAATTTTCAATAGATATTCCGATCAAACAGATAAGCCATATATGCGACATCAAATGGATTTAAGAACATCGGTCATTTCATCATTGCAATTTTGTCCTTTTGAAGATGTACTTGGTATTGGTCATCAAGATGGTTTCACATCCATATTGGTGCCCGGTTCGGGTGAAGCGAATTTTGATGCATTAGAAGCAAATCCATATATGACCAAATCTCAACGTCGTGAAATGGAAGTAAAGGCATTGTTGGAAAAAATCAATCATGAATTGATTACATTAGATCCGGATTTTCTAGCTAAACGTTGTGATGATTTACAAATTCAACAGCGATCAACGATGAAGATAAAAAAGAAAAAATCCAATAAACATCGATTAATGAATAAAACGATCGATGTCTTGGAAGAAGAAAATCCAATAGCAGATTCCATTAATGATAAAACGGATCATCATCAATCAGAAAAACCGATATTACGACGAAAACGTGGCAAGAAAAATTTGGCAGCGAAATTACGATCAAAAGCGGCACGTAAAGAAAAACGACGACGAAGCCTTGTGCAACAAAAACTATCGAATCGAAAGTCATGAATAATGCAAAGAAAAACATTGTAAAAATTTCATTTTATTTTGATTTTTTAAATTATATAATTTTAAAATGTAAATTAACCGCAAAACAAATTGAAGTAAAATCGATATTTTTTCATCGTAAAAAGACATAAAAAAGGGTTTAAAGTTGAAAAAAATCAATATTTTGTTTTCAAACTTGATAGGTCATAAAATTATTGTTATTATTTTTAGAGTTTTGTGATTTGAGCATAATAATCGAATCATTGATTGTTGGTTGAATTGGTGATGATGATAATGGTGGTGTTGGTGAATCTTTTACACACCATTTTGGTTGATCAGTTTTTTTAAATGATGTTGAAAATTTTATCATTTTTTTATCATTGTTATGATTGTTATTGTTGTTGTTGTTGTTATTGATGATTATAACATTGTTGGTATTCGTATGTGATCGATTAATCCATGAATCATGACGATTTACTTTACAGCAAATAATGGCTGCCAAATCTGTCATCTAGATTTAAAAAAAAATCAATAATTAATTGATATTAAGTTTATCAATTTTTTTACTTTAGAAAATCATCACAAACCTGAAAATTATTACTACAAAAACAATAGATGAATGGATTCATAATTGTATGTGAACAAGCTAACCAATGTGAAATAAAATATATGGAATAATAGATAATTGAATAATAGCTTGAACCAACAGCAGCAACATCATTATCATTATCAACATTGACAGCATTAGGATCTTGACGTATATCTTCAAATATCCAAAGCATTAGATAGAATATTTGACATGGACTCCAACAAATTATGAATGATATCACCAACAACAAAAGCATTTTGAGCACCTGATTAAAATTAGCAATAAATAATTAAACGTTGGTGAGATACAAACAAAACAAAAAAAAAATCAACGATTTATTCGAATGAAAAAAATAAGACTTACTTTTACTTTAGTTTGAGTTAGATTCTGATTTGTGACACGATTATCATTTCCTTCGGGAAATTTATGCCTATAAACAATAATACCAATATGGCCATACAAATAGGTTAATGCAACCACCGGTAATATGAATGTCATGACGAATACAATAATCGTATAAATCGTACCAATTGAATGACTATTTGTTGGATCAAGAAAACTCCAATCTTCTGTACATTCTACATAGGTTTCATTTACATAGATTACTGGTGAAATTTTTGTCGCAATTAATATGGGCGATGCAATCAGACCGGACATTATCCATATGAATATAATCACTGATTTGGTGTGGCTAGATTTTGTAAGAAAAAGTGATTCTTGTCCGGTTACAATGACGTAATACCTATATTTCAAAAAAATGAACAAGTAAAAACAATCAACAACAACAACAAAACGGTGAATCATAAATGGAAAAAATAACTTTTTTTAGAATCAGATACCCCCCTATCTTCCTCTCTCTATCTCAAAACAAAATTCTAATCAAATTAATTGGCCAGATAAATGTCGCAGCTGTTACATCTATGTCTACTCGGCAAAATATATATGATTAGTCGATTATATTGGTCGGGCAAAAAATTGCTTCAAAAAAATAAACAAAGTTTTTCGTATCGTATTACTACACACAAAAAAATATATTCAACTCTTTTATTGAAAATGAAAAAACAAAATGATACTTTCAAACTTTGTTTTGGTTTTAGACTTGTTTTTTTTTGAAAAAAAGGAATACAATGTATACTGACAACTGAAAAAAATGGGAAATCAATCAACTCGGGTTTTTTTGTTCATAAATTTTGTCAGATTAATGATGATTAAAACGAAGAAGAAAAAAAATTGATTAAGTAAGAAAAAAATAGATTGCATCATGTTGCAAATTTTCCCATCCCTTAAATTATCATTAATCGTTTTTCCATTTCAGAACTGGAAATAACTTAATAAAATGAATTTCGATGAAAAACTAAACGAAACAAATAACCAGACTATCAGAATTTTTAATTTAACAAAGCTTTAAACATTATGAGAATTTTGTTGCCGTGAGTTTTTTTTTGTTGTGCATCTGCAAAATGATCAAAATTGATCATCATTATCATTATATCATATACAATCCGCAAAAAACTATGATAACCAGAAGCAAAAATGAGATTTTTGTTTTTTTTATTTTCAAATAAAATGAAACTAAAACATCTATTTTAGCATGTCTGCAAATGTCAGACTATAGACTTTACTTAGAATGTATGATCAAAATTGTTAGAATCAAGATAGTAGACGAAGAAAAAGAAAATCGAAAAATAAAATAAAATTTTCAGATAAATTTAATTGCAAACAAAAGGCAGACAATTTTTTTTTTTGGTGCTGTAAATGGACATCATCAAAAGCATTCAGCAATGCGAAAGCAAAATCAAAAACAAAATCCTATCATTTAATGATAATACACGAGACAAACGATAATCGGATGAAGAATGCTTTTTTCGTGATTTTTTTTATTTATTTTTTTTGGGGTTCAAATGAAATTCGAATCAAACAACGTTCAACCAAGGAGAAAAAACAACAAACATTAATAACAAATTGAATTTTTTAAAAACAATAATCGGATACACCCACAATTTTTTATTTATTTTTTGGTTTTGGTTTTTTTTCGTTGATTTGCATCATTCATACCCACACATAAAAAATGGAAATGAAGTGAAACACATGCACACACACACGGGATGTGAATATAAAGAAGAATGAAATTGATTTCGATTATGAATAAATCAAACAAAGATTCTTTACAGGATATGGTTGAACTGTGTTCGGTTATCGAAACATTGAAGTTTGCTGTTTCGGATTCAAAAGAATAGGATTTTTTTTTAATTTCATTTATGAATTCATGAAATGGATTCAGTAATAATAATAAAAAATAACAAAAAACAATCAGGATTGAGATAAAAAAAATTAGATTTAAATATAATCTATATGTCATAAATTTTATTCATTTATCGATGAAATTGGTAAAATGTGTGCCAATAATAAAAAGTGCACAAGATTTTCTTCGAAAATATACCAACCCACTTATGGGAGAGAGAGAGAGAGATGAAGAGATCAGAACAGTGAATTATGAATGAAAATGGGGAATTCAAACGAAATCACATCAAATATTTATTTATTTATTTTTCTTATTCTGTCGAAAGAAATCCGTTGATTTTTTTGATTGTCAAAAATGTTGACATTTCATACTGAACATTCATGAATGATGAAATATTTCACTGGAAAATTATCAACAATGATATGATTGTTAGATAGTTTTTTTTTCTTCTTCATATAAATAAATAAGTTTTTTTCACGCGAATAAAAAAAACAAAAAACTTGAAGAAAAACCTTCCTTGTTACAAATAATAAACCATTTGAATTGATCATAATGAATAGAATTAATGATTTCACTTACCGACCAATACCAATAGCGATGAGTGTATAGAATGCAACAGTTGGTGCCAATACCTGAACAAAACTGGTTAATGGACAAAGAAATTCAGGTAACCACCATGTATTATAAATTAATGTAATATATGTGAATGGTATGTTGAATATGGCAAATATAATATCACTGAAGCCAAGATTCGATAAGAATAAATTCAATTGACGGCTAGTACGTCGACTATAATTTAAAATTAATATTGCCACTATGTTGGCTATAAAGGCAACGAAAGCAGTCAGCATATAAATGACAACCATAACTGAACGAAATGTATATGACATTTCAACTAGTCGATCGATTCGACGAAATTGATCATTACCATCATCGCCAATATTGGTGATGCTGCCGCCACTATGAATTCCGGTTGCCGATATCTGTCTTTCCGGATATGATGAAAATGAAATCTCATCATTGTTGACAAGATTCATAAATTTTTTAATGTTGGTCGAATTTTGATTCATAAAACTGGACAATAATGTAGATTCATTTAGATTTGTTACTGCAAAATATAATGGCATTATCTGATCATGATGATTATGATGATAATGAGGATTGGCAGTTCTGATCGATGATATCCTGACGTTCAATTCATCATCATTGGATGAATAATGTGATTGATGGTGGACTAAAGTTGATATCATTACTGTAGGAACTAGCAATAACAATAAAGACAGATTATTTGCCATTTATTCTGTGTTACGGAAAATTAAATGTTGAAAGAAAATTATCTATGATTATTATTTTCCAGATTCTTTTGAAAAACAAAAAACATTGAATTTCGGATTTTCCAATTCAGTCGATTGATTCGCTATAAATGATATTCTATAGAAAAAATAATGTGGAATAAAATAAAAACAAAAAGTATGCAATGAGAATCGATAAACTATGAATGCATGAAACAAAAACAAAACAAAAAAGAATTCATTGCAATCATTCATATTGTTTAATTCAAAAGATGACCGTTTTTACATTCATTTCATTTTTTTATCTGTTTGAATGGAAAATGGAAACCACAAACGACAATGAGAACAACGACAACATAAATACCATCGTTATAATAAATTATATGGGAAAAAGGAATAAGAACCAAAAAAATTCAATTCAATTGATTCGGTATAATCAAATAAAACAAGGAAGAAAATCAAATATATAACAAATACCATACCATAAAAAAAGAATGAATATGATATTCGTTAAAAAAATGGTCAAAAAAGGAAAAATTGTCGTTGTCGATAATCAATCGATAAAAATTTGGACAATTTTCGATAGTTGAACTGATGAAACAATTCGAAATAACATTTTTGGTTCTTTACTATTCAATATCAATAGATCGATAGATTGATCGCACAGATATGTAAAAGAATGAAAGGATTCACCAATCAATCGGAGGGAAAAAACGACAAAGAATCCTAAACATACAATGAATAACCACAAATTTCAGATCGATATTCAACGGAAATTTGTTTGTCTGTTTGTTTTTTTCTGATTTCTGATAAAATCAACTTTATATTTTATATAATAGAATTGATGGTTATGATCTATCTATCTATTTATCAGATTACTAATAACAACTAAATTCTGATTTCCTTGAACATTTTGATTTTGATTTTGTTCTGTTTTTTTCTTTTGATTAGATGGACAATCAAGCTTGTACCAATCCAAATGACAGACCAGACAAAATGTGTTAATGTAAAAAATTTGTCTCAAGTTTTTTTGCCAATATTCAAGGAATGTAATATATTTGAAAGAAATTTGATCCACATCATCATTCATTGTCATCGAATTTTTTGTCTCAGGATTTATTGGTGAAAAAAATTGTCTGAATAAAAAACAATGTAAATATTTACAAGCTATTTGATTACATTTTCTAAATATTATAGAAGTTTGATGAAACAAACTGAAAATAAAATCAAAATCAATTTTTTTTCAATGAAAATTCAATATGAACATAAAATATACAAAGAATTTATGCTTATTGAATGAATTTGGATCTGAAACATTTCCGATGAAAACATTCTAGACGATAGGATTTTCGAATTGTTTCTATGGGTCAAATTACATAAACATAAAAGAATTTGTTTGTACTATGTTTGTTTGATTGAGTGTGTGGATGAGGATGTGTATGCATCAATGATTGTATTGCCTGATTGAGTAGATTTTTTTTGTTGTTGTTGAAACAAGTGATAATCATTCAACAAAGAATAGAATGATCAAGTAAATTCAGTTTTTTGAGAAAAAAAGGATTAGCTGAATTTTTTTGATTTGATTCTGTTTTCATTTTCTTCTTATAATAAATAAATAATTAATATTAATCATATGACATGAAATGATAAAGTTATAATATTTTAGTATGCAAATAAAATCTCCGATTCTGTGATTCTTTAGAATTCATAATTATAGAATGCATTTATTCATCCGAATTGACAAACCACACATAAAACCATCAGAATATTTGGGAAAGAATGAGGAAAAAAAGTTGTCGATGTCAACATCATGATGATAATAAGCCTCATAGTAAATGATCGGATAATTTTCTTTTTGGTTATAAGGATTCAAGTTTCGCCAATGAGAATCAATTTTCTGTCACACACACACAATAAAAAACATAAAGAACCAATTCCCAGATGGCTGTTGATGAGTGTAAGAATCATTCAGAAACACTTATCAAATACTAACAATGTTGTTGTTGTTTTTTGTGTGAAAAAGACTGAATAAACAAAATTTTATGAATAAAATGTTGTAGAAAACATTTAGAAAAAATGACAAATGAAATTCTGATAACAACAATTTTTAACATAATAAAAACATGAACAACATTTTATTGTTGACCAACCAATCTAAAAAAACTCATAATAATCATCTAAAATCATGTTTGAAACATTTGCAACTTCGAAAAGAGATGAACATATTGATTGAAATATACAAATCATCGATCTAACTTTATAACTAAATTGAAAATTGACCATGCAAAACTATTTCTATTATCAATATTGAAAGCCTCAAGGCCCTTTCAATGATCCCAAATCGATTCATTCGATCAATGCTGCAATATTTAGAGGTGAAACGAAGAAAATGGAAAAAATCCCATTATCTAATAATGGATTTTTCATCCTTTTTGTTGTTGTTGTTGTTCATATAAATATCAATTCAAGAATCGAGTCAAGAATTGACTATCGTCATTGTTAGAATCAATGAAAAGAAATCCACAAAAAAAACAAGAAATAGAAAAATCACTGAAAAAATACTTGACATTTTTTCGGAATCACTTGAATAGAAAAAGAAAAAGAAAAATTCCAATACGTGTCTATCATTTTGAATTAGGTTTTTTTATCGAAGCTATTTAGAAACACACAAACAGATCCTATATTCGTTTTCAGAATTCAAAACTACTGTAAAGTTGTTGGTTTGCTGATGTGTATGTGGTATGTTCATCATGATGTTCATATGTTTGGACAATAGCATCAGCAACAACAAAAAACGACTGATCACTTCACTGCATTGCATTCTTTTTATTTTTTTGTATTTGAATTTTTTTTCTTCTGATTCATCGAAATTAAATGTTTGGTTTGAGTATCCTTTTTCTATAAGTTGAAATTAAAAAAAAAATTTTGAACTGAGAAAATTAATTTCTTTGAAAGTAGTTTTTTTTACTTTTACTGATTATCCAATGATAATGATGATAATATTAGATTAAACATTCGATAATGAAAAAAACAAACAAAAAGCGCATGTTTTTTTCTTCATCTTATGTCAGATTTTGGATAATCAAAATTAATCCATATAAATGGTCATTAATTAAATAAACTATCGAAGCCTAAATCAGCTAAAGAGTTGTACATACTGGAAATTCTTGGAACAAGAGAGGGAGAGTGAGAGAGAGAGAACCAAATCGAAATTTTCATTCCACAAACTTTTATGATAACAAACGATGGCAAAAAAAGATGGAGAAAAACTTGGAACAATTTGTTTATTTGGAATTTCTTAGGCCTTGAGATCATTAAGTGTACACACAAACAAACAGATAATCAATCAATTCGATCGATGATTGCAGAAAATGAAACAACAATAACATGAACAAATCTGAAGTAAAAAAAACAAAATGTTAGTCTCAATTTTATAACATTAATGAATGATTACAAACAAACAAGAATATTCTTCATATTATATTCATCGAATTTTGATGGAATAACATTATCATTTATCATTCAATTCCTTATTAAGTTAATTTATTTTATTTAGAAGGAAAAAATGTTTGAAATGAAAAAACAAAACAAACAAAGCAAAACAATTAATAAACAACCGTCTGAATAGATAGCCAGAATGAAAGAAAAGATTCAGTGAAATAAGTAAAATCAAATTTTATGTTTATGTTTATTTTTAATTTTGATTGTAAAACATCATCATTGTTTATTCAATTCAATCTTGTTTGAATGTTTTTTCATTCCTATTGTTTTTTTTTTCTAGCTATGAACTGAAATATATGATTGTATTGTCACGGATATTTTTTTTTCGTTTTGTTTTGCAAGGAATTTTCCATTTATCAAAAAAAATATTTGTTTATATTAAAGAAAAGGTTTTCTGTCTCGTTTTTTATATTATTTTTTTTCTGTTTCCTTTTTAGTCTCATCATTTTGATTTCAATTTACATTATTTTCAATTCAGAAGAAAATAAAAACAAAATGAAAATTTAAAAATAAAAAAGAAAAGAGAACCGAATTTCATTCAAAAAAAAAAGATACGAAATTTAAGATATAACTCAATTCGAACTAATAAATGAATAATGAAATTCAAGAAAATCCGATTATCCATGATGATAAAGATGAATGCAAATTTTTTCTTTGCTATCATCATTTGATCTTCTTTAATATATGAATTGTTTATCTGTTTCAAATGCAGGAAAAAATAATTTAAAGACAATCATTGAAGCAAAAGTCAAATTCTTTACCTTACAGAATATATAAAAAGTTTCTTTCTGTTTTATCTAAAAGAAAACAAATTCAGTAGCATCGATATTTAATTGAATTTTTGAATAGGTAAGCAAAAACAAAAACAAGAAGAAACATAAACATAGAAAAAAATCAATTTGATCAAATTTTTTGTTGTTTGTTTTTCATCATTGTTCCTAAAATGAAGAATCAATGACAAAAAAAAACAAAAAATATTTGATTGTCTGACTGAATAACAAACCGGGAAAAAAGTGAATCATTTCATTTCATTTCTTTTCTGCATTTGTCCAGCACATTTTACTTACATGATGGACAAATAAAACATTCATTCATGATGTGATTAGCAAATTATCATATTATTTACAAACATTCATGATGTGGACGAAATAATAAATATTCTTCACCAAAATAAAATAAAAACATGGACAAAGATTGTAATAAAATAAATACCGGAAACAGTGTGGTTATTAGATGGTGCAATATGGTCATATGAACAAACGGTCCGGAAATTAATTAGTTTTTGTTTTAACCAGAGCGTTTGTGTGTGTGTGTGTGTGTGTGTGTGCGATGGTGTGGGAGGAGAAGGTTTAAGAAACAACAAAAAACATTTCTAATCCATTGCAAATATGTAGTAGTTTTTTATTTTTTTTGGTATCGGAGAAAAAAAAACTTGGCAAAAAGATTCGTAATTTGAAACTTTAGTTTAAATCATCATCATCATTTCATTGTATTAATATCGATTGAATGTTAAGTAATAAATGATGATAATGATGATGATGATGATAATAATGAGTAAATTGTGTGGCCGTACAATTATATGTCATTATAGGGGGGAAATAAA